ATTCATTTTCAACAACACATAGCTACCACTTGGCAACCCCATAAAAACCACCCAGTATCAATCCATACATCGTAGCAACACCTTAGCAACTACCTGTAATACCATAGCAACCACCGTACAACACCTTAACCACCACCTGTAATACCATAGCAAGCACTTCGCAAGACCTTGACAGCTACCTTGGATACTATAGCAACTTCCTAGCCTTACCGTAGCAACCACCTGGGTTACTACAGTAACCACCTAGCAACACTTCAGCAACCACCTGGAATTCCACAGCAACTACCTATTAACACCCTAGCGATGATATAAAATACCATAGTAACCACCTGGCAACTGCTTAGCAACCGTTCTTAAATCCCTTAAGCAGCGCGATCACTCAGCATTTTCTACATTTTAGTTCCAACATAACATCTTGTAATAACGTCATGCTGAAGGGTTTATTTTTTATTCTGCTTGGCAGCAGTACGTCACCGTAGCTACGCACTACATATCTGTTTTTGTTTGTTTTCCTGTTTTGTTTTTTTTTTCACCTTAGTGGGTAATTTTGCAATAAGAATTACAGTTTCACAAATGTTCACCACTCGGCTGCGCGATAGTTTAATACAAATATTTGTGGATGTTTTATGTTCAAATCATTTAATGATAAAAGGGGAAGAATGTAATGTTGTCTTTGTTCATTATGTAGATTTTTGTTGCCGTCAAATTACAAAAAAAAAATTACAAATTAAGGCAAAAATGACATATTTTTAAATTTGTTACCATGTTGTCTCGACGATGTTCATGAGTTGTGTTTTTAAACTAGGTTTAGGTTTCAGGACACTTTAAATCAGCACCAAAAAAAGTTTGCCGCTATATGTTATGTGTGCAAAAGTTTGAGCACCCCTGGTCAAATTCATGTTTTGTTGATTTTCTAAGTGAAAATAAGTTTCTCTACAGAGAACACAGTTCTGCATTTTAATACACATTCACTGTTTAATTTGTTTATATTGCATTTAACATATTGGAAAAACACATATAATATGGCTTATGCAAAAGTAATGGCACATTTTATATTTTATGGTGTATTTTTTCTCAATATGTTCCTAAGAAATTCTGCAAATAAATGGAAGTTGTGCACTAAAATTAGCTGGAAAAATAAGTGTGTCTCTGTAGAGGATGTGTTCACTTATTCACACTTAGAAAGTCAACAACAACATGGAATTTGATCAGGAGCGCCCAAACTTTTGCATATCAGTTATTAATTCAGGGTAAAATTCAGAATTACTCAACAGTTTGTTCAGAGACGCATAAACAACCCAAAACCTGATTAAAACAGCAGGATACAGTGTTTCTGCCCTGTTTAGAGTGTCTATAATTTCAGATTCACTCTTTTTTTTCTTTCTGCCGTATCATGCTGAGTCTGATCTCAGAATAAAATTCTATATTTATTTGTATCCGCCTCCAGGCATGCATAAACAAAGTTATGTAATAAATAAATAACTCATGTATGCATGAGAGAGGGCTGCGTCCTTCATTAGTGTGCAAATCTAATTTTCTAAACTTACTTTTTCTTGCCTGCTCCAATATTTACCCTCCTCTGTATAATTCACTGCTTCCTGCTCCAGCTCCCCAATTTTAAAGTGATAAGTTTGGGAAATAAAAAACTATCGCTTACCTCCACTGTAGCCAATCAGCCAAGACAGGTTTGCTGTCTTTAGTTTTAGCACTGGAGCTACGAGGCTAATGTAGCTAACAAGTAATGGAAGCTTATACCCCACCAATTAGCATGGTGCTAACTGCATGCCTAATTCATCAGAGTAATCTCTAATAGACTTGATTATGTGGTTTCTGACACTGATGCTTGTTGTGTTTAAACTCTGTAAGTGTTGGAGTGATGCCCTTGTTTCAGTTAGTGTGTTTACATGCACTCAGTAATCCAATCATAATCGGATTTCTGCAGTTATCTGATTATTCAAATGGTCATGTAAACAGCACATTCTGATTTCTTGGATCGGAGTAAGATCTAGAAATCTGATTAAGAAATCTGATAAAGAGGCTGGATTTTAGCTCAGTGATCAGATTTCTCAGTGTACTCTGTGAACTCTTACTCTGATTTCTTTCGGGTTTCTCAGTCTGCGCATGGGCGAAAACAGAAGGCGGCACCGGAAATAAGCAGGCAGCGTCGCCGTGAGACGCAGCAATACACTTTTGGAGTGATGCTGAAACAAAACACGTTTTAAATTTTCTTCATCTTCTAGATGATGTAAAAAAAAAGAAGTTTGAGTTTTACGTTACGTTTACGTCGCGTCTTCTTCTGTGAGTTTATTGGCTGGTTGAAAAGCAGAAATCTGATTACTGTCTGACTCATGTAGACCCGGAGTTTCCCCATTATCTGATTACTTAAGTGCACGTAAACACGTCGATTGGATTACTGACAAAATCTGATTTTCTGCAGTTATCGGATTATTAAGTGCATGTAAACGCACTCATTATTAAGCTTTGGCCGGAAACATAAGAGTTAAGATCTTGAAATGCCCAACAGAAAATGATCCAATCAGGATTGTTCTCTCTGTGGTATCTAGGTAGATACAGCCAAGCTGCTCTCCCATTGGTAAGGACTTCAGGGGCTGGACTGAAGGCCTTGCACATTAGATTAATTACCAACATAATTAGGAAGTTAAACAGGTGGTGAAAAAACTTCTGGTCCTTTGGGAAGTTCTACATAACTGACTGTGAATATTGAGTTGTAGTCTAAGCAGGTTCTGGATAGTTGTTACAGGCTTCACATAAAACATACTGAATATCTTTTACAAGCTTCAAATGTCTGTGTTTAATCTGAAATGGCCAAATATGTTAATGTGCATCAGCGTTAGCTTAGCCTAACTACTGTTTCCCACTGAGGTGCTTTCACAACTTTATTGTAGAGGTGTTCTTTTTTTTTGACGAAGTTCTGATATTTATGTCCTGAACTGACAGCTTCGCTCTAACAATCATGCTTCACCACTATATGATGCACTCTTATCTGTAAACATGTGTGGATTAAATACTTCTGTTTTTAGCTAAGCTAAAATGTGCTTTAGTTCATGTTTATAGATAACAGTGTGTCACACAGTGTCGGAATCAAGTCTGTTAGAGATCCCAAACAACTCCACACAGTTTGAGGCACGTGTGTGAAGAATTAGCATGATGCTAATTGGTGGGGTATAAGATTCCATTATTAGATACGTTAGTCTTGTAGCTCCAGAGCTAAAACTGTAGAAGCAAACTTCAGAAACTAAATATGTTTTGGCTGATCAGCTACATTTGGGGTAAGGGTGCGGAGGTGGGGGTCTCAGGGTGGATTTAATGTTCTGTCAAACTATTGCTTTAAAGCTCTAATGGATCTGTGTGTTACAGAGAGGAGCTCCTTAAAGCACAAACTGCAGTAAAGCTGATCCTGGGCGTCCACCAAAAACCTAATGAAGTGGACAGCGCAGTGCGTGTGGGCGAGGAGAGTGTGTGTGTGTTTGTGTGTGTGTGTGTGTGTGTGTGTGTGTGTGTGTTTGCGTGTTTATAGCAGCAGGACACGGTTCTTTCTGAGTGGGAGGTTTGTTTGTGTTTCACCGACCGCTGAGACTCACGTATTAATTGGTGCATCGGAACAGATGGAGCGGCGTGAGGGAGCAGCTCGGCTAATTAAAGAGCTCAACAGACAGAGAGAGAGAGAGAGAGAGAGAGAGGGGGAGAGAGAGAAGGATGGAGAGATTGAGAGAGGGATAAAAGGCAAAGGGAGAGATAGAAAAAGATCAAATTCAAAACATGGAGTGTCAAATATTTGTACATCAGGTCCAAATGAATATTTAAATAAATATATTTAATTAACAACTTGGCAATTACTGCAGAAACATAATTTAAATAATAATTCTGATGATGTATCTACTTCATGTGAAATTGGTGTATACATTTTAAATACAAATTTCAAATAATTGAATTTTATTGTTTGTGTGATTTAATTGTCTGGGTTGTTTACTGAACTATCATAACATTTACTCTATTGTGATGGGAATTGGTTGTGTTGGAATTTAATTTGTTGAAATGTGTTGGAATTTACTGAATTGTGATCAAATTTATTGAACTGAGATGAAATTTAGTGAGTTGTGATAAAATTTGTTCACTTGCGATGGAATGTGCTGAATTTACTAAATAGTTATAAATTTACTGAATTGTGATGGAATTCACAGAATTGGTGAAATTTACTGAACTATGGCCGAATTTCCTGAACTGTAATAGGATTCACTGAAGTGTGATAGAACTGAAATGTAATGGAATTTAGTGAAATGTGATAGAATTTATCGAAATGTGGTGGAGTTTGCGGAACTGTGATAAAATTTACTGAATTGCAGTGGAATTTAGTGAATTGTGAATTGATTTCACCCAATTGTGGAATTTACTGACCTGAGAGGAAATTTCCTGAATTGTGGTTAAAATGACTAAACTGTGGTGGAATTTACTGAATTGTGATGGTAGTGGCTAAATTGTACTGGAATTTAGTGAACTTTGATAGAATTTACAGAATTTTGGGGGAGTTTAGGGAACTGTGGTGGACTGTGGTGGAATTTATTGAATTGTGAGGGCATTTACTTAAATATAAGCCACTAAATCCACTGTAAAAAGTGGAAGAGGACAAATGCTATAGTTGATGTAAAATACTAAATTTGTTTATTTGAACTAAAAATTTATCTGAGTTGAATAAAAGCCATCAAAACACGTCAAATAGTTTGTTAAAAGATTAAGCATTTTTGAACTGACTATTCAGTTTGTACAGTGTAGGTTTGTGAGTTATTTAGAGATGTCAGGTGGAAACTGAGTATAAGGTAATAGAAAAACACAATTACATTAAAATTAATATTGCAAATAAAATTTTTTTAACTTTCAGTTCTCTTCCCCAGAATCCTGTTATTTACTTGATCTATCCAAATCTTTCTCTCCCGCTCTCTCTCTCTCTCTCTCTCTCTCTCTCTCTCTTTCTCTCTCTGTAGGCGTTGTACCCAGGGCAGGATGAAGGTTGGCAGGTTTTCGGCTCCGTGTCAGATGCGGAAGGGAAGTGCGTGTGTACTCTACTCGCCCCCCCACAGAACCTCTGCCGAAAAGACCCACGACACACACGCCTACGCCAGCTCACAGAGCATGTGAGTAACATACACACACACACACAGACACACACACACACACACACACACACACAAATACACAGAAGAATTATGTAAGCAATCACACACAGTTGTAGCTAATGAATCAACATTACTGCAAAATTATGCAGCGCAAAATGTCTTGCATGTGGGAGCCTCACAGACCCAAACACAAACATTCATAAATAAGATCATTTCTTACACACAAGCAGGTCTCAACCTATTGAGACAAGAGTTTGAACCCTGACTGTAGCCCCACAGAATTCTGTCTGAACCGACTGTAGCCCGACAAAATTCTGTCTGAACCGACTGTAGCCCACAAAATTTTGTCTGAACCGACTGTAGCCCACAAAATTCTGTCTGAACCGACTGTAGCCCCACAAAGGTCTGTCTGATCTCGACTGTAGCCCCACGAAATTCTGTCTAAACCCGACTGTAGCTGTCAAAATTCTGTCTGAGCTCGACTGTAGCCCCACGAAATTCTGTCTGAACCCGACTGTAGCTGTCAAAATTCTGTCTGAACTCGACTGTAGCCGACAAAATTCTGTCTGAACCGACTGTAGCCCACAAAATTCTGTCTGAACCGACTGTAGCCCACAAAATTCTGTCTGAACTCGACTGTAGCCCACAAAATTCTGTCTGAACCGACTGTAGCCCACAACATTCTGTCTGAACCGACTGTAGCCCACAAAATTCTGTCTGAACTCGACTGTAGCCCACAGAATTCTGTCTGAACTCGACTGTAGCCCACAGAATTCTGTCTGAATTCGACTGTAGCCCACAAAATTCTGTCTGAACCGACTGTAGCCCAACAAAATTCTGTCTGAACCGACTGTAGCCCGACAAAATTCTGTCTGAACCGACTGTAGCCCACAACATTCTGTCTGAACCGACTGTAGCCCACAAAATTCTGTCTGAACTCGACTGTAGCCCACAGAATTCTGTCTGAACCGACTGTAGCCCACAAAATTCTGTCTGAACTCGACTGTAGCCCACAAAATTCTGTCTGATCTCGACTGTAGCCCCACGAAATTCTGTCTAAACCCGACTGTAGCTGTCAAAATTCTGTCTGAGCTCGACTGTAGCCCCACGAAATTCTGTCTGAACCCGACTGTAGCCCCACGAAATTCTGTCTGAACCCGACTGTAGCTGTCAAAATTCTGTCTGAACCGACTGTAGCCCACAAAATTCTGTCTGAACTCGACTGTAGCCCACAAAATTCTGTCTGAACTCGACTGTAGCCCAACAAAATTCTGTCTGAACCGACTGTAGCCCACGAAATTCTATCTGAACCGACTGTAGCCCCACAAAATTCTGTCTGATCTCGACTGTAGCCCCACGAAATTCTGTCTAAACCCGACTGTAGCTGTCAAAATTCTGTCTGAGCTCGACTGTAGCCCCACGAAATTCTGTCTGAACCCGACTGTAGCCCCACGAAATTCTGTCTGAATCCGACTGTAGCTGTCAAAATTCTGTCTGAACCGACTGTAGCCCAACAAAATTCTGTCTGAACCGACTGTAGCCCACAAAATTCTGTCTGAACCGACTGTAGCCCACAACATTCTGTCTGAACCGACTGTAGCCCAACGAAATTCTGTCTGAACCGACTGTAGCCCCACAAAATCCTGTCTGGACCGACCATAGCCGACAAAATTCTGTCTGAACTGACTGTAGCCCACAAAATTCTGTCTGAACCGACTGTAGCCCACAAAATTCTGTCTGAACTCGACTGTAGCCCCACAAAATCCTGTCTGAACCGACTGTAGCCCACAAAATTCTGTCTGAACCGACTGTAGCCCACAAAATTCTGTCTGAACTCGACTGTAGCCCACAAAATTCTGTCTGAACCGACAGTAGCCCCACAAAATTCTGATTGTAGCTAAACAGGCAATTTCATTGCTAGGTTCAGAGTCGTCTGCAACCCAAAAATATCCAGCCCAGAGCAGCTCTGTGATCAGACATTGACCGCTGCTGAAGGGCTCGAGTATGGCAGTCAGCCGTACAGTTGGGTAGGGGTTTAAGTGGACACTGTGTATAGATGCATACGGTTGTGTTTAACAGGTCCAGAATGTGTCTCAGTATTTGGAGGTGTTGCATCTGCGGACGTCTCGAGATCTTCAGTACATCAGAGAGTCAGAGCAGCGAGTGAATTTGGTGGAGCGGAGAGTTAAAGCAGCTCACAGTAACCCTCACAGCCTCACAGCCAAAAGCCTACAGGTACATACATATACTACAGCATGTATTTATTTACAATTCACCAACAATACATATTGCTGAATATAAAGATAACAACAATAGAAAAAAGAAGAAAAAAAATCATTTAATACTCAAAATTAGTTAATTGTTGTTTTTGTAAAATAACCAAATTGATCTTATATTAATCATAGTATAAATTAAAAATAATGATAATATTTACAGTACTTTATGTGTAAATATGAAGTGCAAAGCTTTTATTTGGATATGAATTATAAAAGGCTAAAAGTTTTAATATAGGAATATAAGGCTTATTTTAATTATTTTAACATTAATTTATAATTAAAATTGATTATTAATTGTTACATTATGCAGTTACTTTCTAAAGTAACAATATGAAATAATTAACATTTTTTAATATTTATTTATTTATTTATTTATTCATTATTGTTTAGATGTTTACATTACACCCTGTCAGGAATGTCAGGAATCATGAGCTCTTTTAGCTCTCTTACTTTAGCATTAGCTTTAGCTCTTAATCGCTTTAGAGAAGATGTATGTGTATCAATCTTTCCTCCTCTGCAGGATCTGAAGCGGAATGTGAATGAATGTCTCCCCCTGCTGGCAGTTATTGCTCAGTACAGCGCAGATGCAGGCCAGCTGGAGTACCTGCGGCAGGAAGTGGAGAGATTAAGCTCCGCCCTCATTCTCCTGCAGGAGCAGCTGGAGGCGTATGACTACAGCCAATTACAGCACAGAGCCATCCTGCTGGAGAATAGACTACACACCTGCATCAACACACTCGGTGTGTACATTTGTGAGTGTGTGTATGGGTGGTGAAGCGTGACTATTCAAGCAAGGCATTTCCGTTCAGGACATACAAGTCAAAACTAAGTCTAAAAAGAGGGAAAAAACACCTCTACAATAATGCTAATTTCTGCTAGAGCCCCTATGGGATTCTAGTAGTATTGTAGCGTTAAGCTAATGACGATTCACATTAACATTTTTTGTGAATTCTAAATTAAACACGGGCATTTGAAGCTTGTAAAAGATATTCCATATGTTTTATTTAAAAATATATCTGAGGTTGTATGTGTCAGTTTTACAGTGACTCCTTCAGTAGAGACGGCATAGAGCTGCCGCCACTGTTTTCCATTCCTAACAGCTAACCCAAACTTAACCTACGACTCTTATTCACAGTCAATGCTGTATCTAGAACTACCAGAGGGGCTTTTTTTCCTCACAAAATCGGTCCGGTTGTAAATCAGAGCGTGATTGGTTGAGTCCTCTTTCACTAACTTATTATGTTGGTAGTTGATCTAACGGGTAAGGCCTTCAGTCCAGCTCCTGAAGTCCTGACCAATGGGAGAGCTCGCTTGGTTGTATCTACCTAGATACCACAGAGAAAACAATCCTGATTGGATAATTTTCCATTGAATGTTTCAAGAATTTGACTTGTTTCAACTAGTACTTGTGTTTACCATGATATGTACAGAGTTCAAATACAAAAAGCATGACGATTGTATTAAATGAAAAATGACAAAAAATTACAGGCACATTTTTTTTTGCATGGAAATCACTAGGGTTTCTCTGAAGGCCTAGAAGGCCCTGAGGGTTCACCATTGTGTGTGTTAAACAAGCCGACTCGTTGGCTACTTTCCCTTTCAAATTAAAAACCAACAGAATGACGTAGAGGTGAACAACAAAAGGCAAGGCAAGTTTATTTATATAGGACCTTCCAAACACTGCTTTACAAATGAGAAAAAACAAAGATAATTAAAGTTAAAAATCAAAACATGATTAAAAAAAAGAGAATAAATTAAACATTGAATGAAACATCAAATCAAATATTAAATTAGGATAATAAAGTGGTGTTACAGGACAGAAGTGCAGTACAGCTATCACTGTTTTAAACTGAGCTGGAAGCTGCTCAAATAGGAAGTAGAGGGACAACTACAGGGTTACTTGCAGGGACAGCTAGAAGTTATAGCTATGGACAAAAAAAAGTGATGTGCCCTTGTACATGACCTGTGCTCCAGCAGGAGTGCAAGACTTTAAGGTTTAAGGCTGCATTCACACTGTAGCTAAGCTAGGTTCCCTCAGTCTGGACCAAAGCAGAACATGATAGCATCGTAATTTACTTCTGGTTGTCTTAGTTTTCATACTGACATATTTAAGATTGAATCAAAAGATGTAAACCAACCTCCGAACTGAATCATGCTGTGCTCTGACTTAACTGAGCTCATAGGCTGTATGTATGTCTTGTTTTATATATGTCTTTGTACTCATTAAGCCACACATTGGTGGGTTTCTTTGCCACTAAGTGGCATGAAGTGAACTGTGATAGCATTTGGTTTTGAGTGTTTAATGCTTTTATAAAAACACTGAAAACATACATACATCATCTAAACCGCTTATCCTTCTGGGTCACAGTGGGGTGCTGGAGCCTATCCCAGCTGTCATTGGGCGGAAGGCAGGATACACCCTGGACAGGTCACCAGTCCATCGCAGGGCAGACAGACATACACATTCACACCTAGGGGCAATTTAGCACATCCAATCAGCCTGACTGCATGTTTTTGGACTGTGGGAGGAAACCCACGCAGACACGGGGAGAACAGGCAAACTCCACACAGAAATGACCCTGGTCACCCGGCCATTCTTGCTGTGAGGCGACAGCGCTACTCACTGCGCCACTGCGCCGCCCCAAAAACACTGAAAACGTTTAATATATTTAATGTTTATATGTTTTACAGTTGCCAATTCAGAGCTCGTGAAGTGATCATAAACATGTCAAAACAGTGTTAGGAACTCTATCACACAAAGCTGGGGGGATGAAGGCTAGCATGTTCTTCTTCCAAATCATGTGAGGTACACTCTTAAAAAGATGGTTCTTCAAGGGTTCTTTGTTAAAGAAAGTGGTTCTATATAGAACCATGAACACTGAAAGAACCATTTACATGCTTAAGTGGTTCTTTGCATGGTGAAATGGTTGACTGATTGAGAATGTGTTGTATATGGTTAGAACCTTTTTGAAAATCGTTCAGTATACCACTAAAAAGAGTTCTGCTATTGTATAGCTATTGTATTGTAAGCTTGACCCTATAGTAGAACCGTTTCTGGTGCTATATGGAGCAATATACAACACATTCTCCATCAATCTAAAGAATCATTTCACCATGTAAAGATCTAAATAGAACCATTGTCTAAAGAACCCTTGAAGAACCATCTTTTTTAAAAGTGTACCATTCTTTGCGAATTTGCCACAAGCATGACATCATTGGACAGCCTAATATGCTTGGAGGAAAATGCTAAATGCTAAAACTGTTGCGTCAGCTAACAGATGCCCACATTGGCAGACATTGTGCTGAGTGATGGGGAGATCCTACTCCCCCACAGAGAGTTGTCAGCGATGCTCTCTTGGACTCCTGGCCACAGATGGTATGGTATTGAAATCGCACTCTTCTGACTATAGGAGCCCCAGGATGAAGTTTGACCTCGAGGTCTTGTCCCTTCTGTGAGATGCGCATCAGACAGCTTCACTACACCAGATCTGGCAATCCCGCTGTAACCATACTGCATTTGGTTGTCTGACGGACATGATTCTGAACCTAGGAGACCTTGAATTCCACATAAGGCAGCCAGTGCCTGATAGTCGCCTTGAAAATGGAACCTGCAACATCTTCTTTCAGCTGCTTCCCATGTGACTGAACACAACTACAATGTCCCAGAAAAGATGACCTGTTCTTACCAACCCCTGGGAAGCATGCAGAAGCCATCTAAGCATCTCATTTGTGGGAATAAAAATACATGTAAAGCCCTGTTTGAACAGGATTAGTTTTACATTAGGAGGTGGGTAATGTAACTATTACCAGCACTTCTCGGTGACTTTAATCCTGTCACGTGTCCCTCTGGCACCAACGTTCATAAAGACTCCATTTCCCAGAACTCTCAGGGAGATCACATGACCGATGAACCTCCACAATCCACCTATCACTGTTCCAGTTCACCTGAGTACTAACCTGTCTCACCTGTTATGTGCATCATATGACTAGATCTAGTTTAGTATTTAAGCCCAGGCTTAGTATAGGTTCCTTGTGAGGTGTTGCTTCTCTCTGTAGAGCCACTGAGTGTTTCTGTCTGTTATATTGCCTTTGTGTTTTCCTGGCCTTTTTGGATTTGACCACCGACTGTCAACCGACTACGAGTATTGTCAAATCCTTGTCAAGTAAAGCCTCATTTCTTGTTTTTTGCAGCGAGCATCTGGCTAGTTCTATTCCGTTACGAGTCCCATCCGAATGCGCCATGTCAGTCATTTGTATCCCACTGCATGCTCCCGCTTCAGTGAAGATTCCGGTGCCTTTCGCCTTCTATAAAATGTGCCATAGAAATGACACCAGGTTATAGTAATCCCTGTGTGAATCAACATGTTGGTAAAAAACATTGTCATTTTCTGTGGAAAGGGAGTTTCTTAAGTATGGGGGCAGTCCAAGAAGCACTTACTTGTGCTCTCTGACGAAGCTGAAGTTGGCTTCTTATTTTTATTCTTATTTGTTCCCATTCTGGAACTGGAAAATTCAAACAAGAAGCTGGAGAATAAGAAGTCTCATTGTTCTCTGTGGCTAAAATTAGGCCGCCATGTAAACTTACCATCCTGTCTCATGCATGCAACTCAAAACGTGAAAAAATGACAGAGAAAATGTTTGCTTTTATGTGCTGAGGTTGACTGTGAATTCCCAAGCTAATGAAGATGCTAATGACGCACTGCATTCACTTAAGACAGCAAGGTAAAAGGGCTCCCATCTCTGTCATATATACTGAGTTTTCTTATCCCCTGCGAATGGGTGATAGACACTGCAGATGTTCTGTGGTAACCTGGCATCACCCCACCTCCCTATGGAAAATGAATCCCCTCCGAATAAGCTTAAGACACCTCTGTCTTACTCTCTGAGGTGTCCCTCCTTGATGTCCTGAGATGGGAGCACAGGATCTCATGGACAAACCGCCTTAATTGCCTACGAGCTGAGAAAGTACAACATCAGTATTGCTGGCTTGACAAGAGGACTTCTTAACAGTCTTAAAGTTGACAGATATACCTTCTTCTAGAAGGCAGGTACCAGAGGACTCCTGCAGATGGTGTCAGACTATGTGGAATCTCTTTGCTCTGCAACATCTCACATCTCTTTGCTCTGCTTTACAGTACACATCACTGAGATCCTCTTAAACTCTCAGGCTGGCTTCAGAACAGGGAGAAGAACATGTGAAGTGATATTTGTCATTTGTCAAATCAAAGAGAAATGCAGGGAGCAAAAGATGGACCTCTACATTGTTTTGTACGTCTAAAAAGAGTAATGCTGTGGTTCAAGCAGTTTCTTGGAACAAGTTGCAGGTTTGAAATACCAGTCAACTTCTTCATTCTCAAGCAGCAACATAATGGGATAAAAGCATGAGTACTTCTCAGTAGGATGTAGTAATCATTCTTCCCAGTAAAGGAAGGGGAAAGCACGGCTGACCTAACAGTCCTGAAATATGCGACCTGTTTCTTGCTGCAGTCACTGTAAATTAGGTTTACTTACTTTATTGAGCCACTTGAAAGGAAAATTGTTCATTTTCTTGTCTATCTGGTATCAGCACAATATCACCAACGGAGCAGCACCACCTAGAGCAGTGGGGGGTTAAGTGCCTTACTCAAAAACCAAGTATTATTGGTCGGTCCTGAAATTTGAACCTGAGGTTTTACCTCTCTTGCAGCTAGGTTACACCCTTATCCCTATTCTCAATAAATCTGTCTTTCTCTAAACCCAGCTACAGTTTCAGCTGGGTGGCAGCTTGTTCAAACGCCAATGACTACAAGATCTCACTAGATACAACATGTCTGTCATTCACAAGCCACAGTATGCAGATGTGGAATCCAAAATGATAAACTAGGGGAGGACCCCATGGCAGCAGATACAGAGGCCAAATCCATTTTCTCAAACCCATCTGCATCGACAGAAGCCAAAGCAATGCAAAGTACCTAGTAAAAATTGGAACAGAATACAAATCGGTATCATTGTAGAACAGTCTGTAGAAAAGGCACTGACTATGAAAGGGTTAGTAGAGTCGAATATCAACCTAATTTGCCCAACATCAGAACAGTAGATAATATAATGGATGGACGAGGTGTTGCAGACAATGAGACAGATATGTGTGTCACCAAAGCTACTGAACCCCTATTCATACAAACTTAGCAGATACTTTGCAGTGTATTTTAATTGAATAATCAATGTTTGTGTGTATGTATGTATTCCCAGGTTGTGGTAAGCTGACAGGAATCAGTTACCCTGTCACCATCAGGTCTTTTGGTTCCCGATTTGGCTCGTGGATGATGGACAGCATGATTCCCAGCTCTGATAACCGAGTAAGCCTCATTCTTTGACATCCTAAACCAATCACATCTCAGATCCACACTCCTAAATTTGCGGTGATGAAGTGTTTTTTGAGTGATGCCATAGAAGAACCACTTTTGGTTTCCTAAAGAGCTAAGTTTGAAAAAGAGATTTGTGATTGTGAAAAAAACTTTTAATAATTTTTTATAAAAAAACGTTTGCATAATGCATGCCTGCCAAAACAACGAGGGGCAAGCCAGCATTTGACCCGTCACCTTTTTAAAGGTGCTCCCCAGTCTCCATTTCCCAAACACTTTAGCCGAGCGCGCTAACGTTATTCCTCCTAATGAACAGACACACGTTCAGCTCCGTCTCCTCATTATTCACCACCATCACTGTAATATTTCATCATCAACATTAACACACGAAGGTGATCAGAGCGGCGGTGGAGATCGAGTCTGCAGCGTCTGAGATCTTTAAAACGCAGAGTTAGAAAAGAAAATCATCTCACAGTGAAAGCAGCGTTTTACAGTAGGAAATAAATGGAGCTCATTATGCTGGTAGTGAACTATGCTGCTGACACAGCTGCCTAAAAACCATAGAAACGGACCTTAAACAGAAGTGAGGACCCTGTTGGGGTTCATCCTAAAGTTAGGACAGGATTTAGGAGGTTTAGTCTAGTTAGGATGTTTGTGAGATGCTGTTTCCTTATCTGGAGTTCATGATGAGATTATGAAGTTAGGAACTGTTATTCTGGAATAGCTACTGTCCTGAATTCAGTCCGTACTGACGTCGTCATGGAGACTAAACAGATCAGATTTCAGAGTTAAGATGTTTCTGTAATTCGGCTCCTGGAGAGTTTAGATCGAAAACACATCAGACGAGTTAAGAGTCAGGGAGACGCTGAACTCTGCAGGGTGCACTCCTGGTATAAACCAACCTTCGTTCACATGTTTGATTTGAGGGATTTGAGGAATGAGGACATGCTTTACTGGCCAAGCTGCTTTAGCTGAATTGTATTTAATGAGGGTATTTTTTCAACACAAATGTGCATAATGTCGGTCATCACCGGGACTGTTCCCTGATTGTATATGTTGTATAGAGCTATTCTGACCTACATCATTTTCTTTATCGTGTCTCCATAGAAACCAGACTGATAACATCTGCATCTAAATGCATGATACCATTACTGAAAGCATCCCTCTTTTTCTCCTCATTTATTCTCCTCTCTGTTTCCCTCCACTCTCATCACACTGCATGATCACAAGAGTCTGCATCAAAATCATCTAAATCAGAAGTCTGCAAACTGAAGCTTTTTGTCCTCTGAGTAACTGAACACGTTTTAATCTCTTTATCCCCCTGTAGGTCTGGTCGATGGATGGATACTTTAAGGGCAGGCGTGTGTTAGAATACAGATCGCTCAACGACTTCACCAAAGGCCAGAACTTTGTGGTGCATCAGCTTCCTCATCCGTGGGCAGGTATAATTTGGCAAAAAAATCGAATTTACAGTTTCCCTTCTGGCCACTCTTGCTTCTTTAGCTCCGCACTGAAGCAATAAGACTAATGCAGCTGGTAATGGAAGCTTTCACCTCAACCATTAGCATCTTTGTGAATTTTTAAACTCGTTTTACACCAGATGCGGTAACCGTGCTGCCCGATGAGCCAAGTTGTGTATAATACACTACAGTAGTCAACGTAGCATTTGCACTGCTCGATTCATGTCTATTTTTGCCGCTTGCCATCAACATAGTCACACTACAGGCCCAAAATCAAAACAGTGACAGGTACACACCATTTGTCCCAAAGTATCTGGAGAGAATTCACTTCTAATAAATGAGTTCAGCTATTTTAAGGTGCGCCCATTGCTCACACAGCATAACGTATAAACTCCGTAGAAAAGCACTGACCAATAGAATGGGGTGCTCTGGAGCAGCTGCACATGATCCTAACTAAACAACAGTTAGTCTGTAGTTTGGACAGCAAGAATGCTAGCAAGTGCAGTCATGTTGCAGTGAAGTGGTCAGCTAATCTAGCTGAAGTGGTAGTAAGTTTCAGATCACGTTTCTTTGAACTTACTGACGTTTTAGCTGAATTAACTATTTGTAGCAGAGCGGTTTTGGCTTGCTGTGCATGCCGCGTTGCTTCTGGTATAAAGTCTGCTTTATATATAACAGTTTGTCATACAGGGCCAATTTCCAAAACCCAGATTAAGCCTGAACTTACATTCCAATGCTACACACTAAAAAATGAATGGTTCTTTGAAGGTTCTTTAATTGAAAAAGTGGTTCTGTATAGAACCATAAACACTCAAAGAACTAATTGCATTATTAAAGTGTTCTTGGGATGGTGAAATTGTTCCTCAGATTCATGGAGAATGTGTTGTTGAACCATTTTCTTTATTAAAGAATCTTTGAAGAACCATCATTTTTAAGACCGTAGGCTTAGTCCACACACTTTAAAAAAGGTTCTTCAAGGATTCTTTGGTAAAGGTAGTGGTTCTATTTAAAACCATGAGTTCTATATAGAACCATTTGCATGCTAAAATGGTTCTTTGCTTCGTGAATTGTTCTTCAGATTGATGGAGAATGTGTTGTGTACAGTCCTAGATGAAACTTTTGTTGATAATGGTTCTATGTAGCATCAAAAATGGTTCTGCTATTGTTACAATGCCAAGCTTGCAATGATAGACAAACCCTTTTTTGGTGCTACATAGAACCATATACAACACATACAACTCTCCATCAATCCAAAGAGCGATTTCACCATACAAAGAACCATTTAAGCATGCAAATGGCTCCTTGAGTGTTCATAGTCCTTAACAGAATCATTGTTCTCACTATAGAACTCTCTCTTTAGAGTGTTCATATCTGGGAAACCAGGTCAGTGTTAGAACTTGCCTAAGCAGGTCTATTAGAGATTCCTTAACAGTTTCCACTGGTAAAGTCATAGACACTGTTGAACAATTCTTGTTTTTGCTCTGTGTTTGCCCCTCTCTCAGGTACAGGTCATGTGGTTTATAACGGTTCTCTGTACTATAACAAACACCAGACCAACATCATCGTCCAGTACCACCTGCACTCCCGGACCGTTTTGATGCAGCGTAACCTGGGCCAGGCTGGCTACAACAACACCTTCCCCTATTCCTGGGGTGGATCGTCTGATATCGATCTCATGGCTGACGAGACCGGGCTGTGGGCGGTTTACACCACCATTCCCAATGGGGGGAACATGGTGGTGAGCCGTCTGGACCCTGTAACCCTGGAGGTGGTGAAGTCCTGGGACACAGGGTTCCCTAAACGAAGCGCTGGAGAGGCATTCCTGATCTGTGGGACTCTTTACGTCACCAACTCCCACCTGGCCGGAGCCAAAGTCCACTTTGCGTACCACACGAACACATCTTCATACGAATACACAGACATTCCCTTCCATAACCAGTACTCGCACATCTCCATGCTGGACTACAACCCTAGAGAGCGGGCGCTCTATACGTGGAACAATGGCCACCAGGTGCTGTATAACGTCACGCTCTTCCACCTGATCAAAAGCATTGCGGACACCTAGACACCAAACCCAACGAGAAGCCAAAGAACGAGGAGAAAACTAAAGGATTAGGGATGTCCTGGTCCGATCTGAACAATCAGAACCAGAGGTGATCATGAGAAATTTTCATTTTATCTTACCAGCTATGTTCAGTCCTGTTCCCTTCCTTAAACCCGTAGATGTAAAGTTATCAAATGTGGTTTTGCTATACATTCAGTTTTAGTACTGATCAAAAGTCAGAAAGTCCCCTTCATTTATTTAATGTCCAGTTAAAATGGTACAAGTTCTTCTTCAGGAGATGTTTGTTAGAAAGGATTAAGAGAAAATTTGGCTCTTAGCAACCACCTGGAAGACCTGGTAGACACCAAAACTGCCCCGATCAGATAAACAGCACTTAAAGCTTTCATCTTTGAGAGAGAGGAGAAAATCAAGCTGCTTCAGATCTGAAAACATCCACAGGTGTTTCTGTCCATCCTTCCACTGTGAGAAGACGACTCAGCGCTGTGGGTCTGAAAGGATGTGTAGCTGTTCAAGAAGAACCTCACTGAGAAAAGGCGACGGACGCATCAAACAAAGAAGCTGAACAATGGACTGACCACCCCAGAGTCCAGACCTCAACACCACTGAATGTGTTTGATTACTTCAGAAAATGATCAACCAGCTTCTAAGACTGAACTTTGGAGGTGTGTCTGCAGATTCTTTGAGGAACTGAAAGTGAGTCTCCTGAAAAGAATGGAAGCTGGAATAAAGGTACAGAGTGACACACTGAACATTCACACAGCTGAGATTGGATTTAGCTGTTGAGGCTTCTGTGTGATTTTCTGGTTTTTTATATGTTGAAAAATGTATAATTTGATAGCCATTTTAATTGGAATAAATAATGGGTGATCTTTGACTTTTGCACAGGACTGTAATTAATTGTACTTATTAAAGAAGGCCGAGACATCATATTCTGAGACACATAAGCTGGACGCCCGTCCCACCGCGATGAACATGATCAGAACGGACTTAAACTTTCCGATAGGGAATGTAATCAGATACAGGCGTTTACATGGTTATTATTCTTCTGTTTAACGGATTATTTACAGGATTACCCACCTCGCTCAGTCGGATAGAAACTGTATTCCGAACAACCCAATCAGACTAGTCTATTCTGATTGAGCTGTTCTGGTTATTTTTTTTACTAATGCAGAACTCTTTCATCATCAAACATATCTTACCTAAACTGATTCAGCATCAGCCGACATTTGGACTGGGACATCCCTAAAGTGGACAGATGGACAGGAGATTAGAGAAATGTGTGGAGATGATGTAATCAGGAATGCTGAAATATTACTGGGGGGGATGAATGCAAAAAAGGACTTCTCTAACAAATGTGAATGCATAACTGAAAAATACAACAACAGCCACATTTCCAGCCCTGGAGCCAGAGCCCATCAGTCACAGTAAACAAAAGTTGAATAACAGATACCTGAATAAAATTTTTAGATGTTCTATCTCTTTTTGCCAATCAGTCAGTATTTTACCATGACCTTTAGAAGTCTGAAAAAGAATCTCAGTTTTGCTAAACCACAACTATTTAAATGTAATGATAACAACCATGTTGTAATTACATTGTAATTACCACATTATTAAACCATAAACACAGTCAGAGGTCTGAGTCTGGCTCCAAAAGAGGAAACATGGCAGTTGTTGGAGAAAAATCCTGAATGGTGCATTACATTGAAACCTGTCTGTTAAATCTGTGTTTGTTTATGATCGTGTGAAATGTCCCTGTCGTGTGGCCTTGTTTGCTGCTCTGATGTTCTGTCTGCATGGAACCGGCATCTTCAAATGAGCATTAAAGGTGAAATAATCTCGGCATCTGGTGGTGGTGTTTTTTCTGGAGGAGAACAACAGAGCTAGATGTGTTAAAGGACAAAGTCAAAGACAAAGAAGTAACAATTCAAAGTAACTTTTGAGCCAATGAAAAGGGTCTGAATTTGACCCCCGAGTTAAGTTACAAATAATTCATAGTGGTTACTGAATACTTCATAGTAGATACTAAATCATTCATAGTAGTTACTGAAAGATTTTTAACAGATACTAAATAATTCATAATAGTTACTAAATAATTCACAGTAGATACTGAATAATTCATAGTAGTTACTGAACAATTCATAGTGGACACTGAATGATTTTTAACAGATACTAAATAATTAATAGTAGTTACTGAATAATTTATACTAGATACTGAATAATTCATGGTATTTACTGAAGAATTTGTAGTAGTTACTGAATAATTCATAGTAGTTACTAAATAATTCATAGTAGATACTGAATAATTCATCGTAAATACTTAATAATGTATAGTAGTTGCTGAATAATTCATAGCGGTTACCAAATAATTCATAGTAGATACTGAATAATTCATAGTGGTAACTGAATAATTCATAGTAGATACTGAATAATTCATAGTGGTAACTGAATAATTCATAGACGATAAAGAATAAGAGTGGTTACTGAATAATTCATAGCAGACACTAAGTCATAGACGGGTCATAAACTGAAGAATAATAAAATCAGAATGGGTTCTTACACTGACGGAAAAGAATGCCGACTTCACCTGATTCACATGTATACACTGCTTCCACATTAATAAAATGTAATTCTTGATGTAACTGTGAGGAAATGTGAGAGTTCTACCAAATCGTTGTTTTTAAGATGGAATTGTCATAGTATGTTCTCTCTTTACAGGAAATGACACGTAGGAATGCTAAGAGACTCAATGTGCTACAAAAAATGTAGCAAATCTGCCTTTTTTGAAGACCCCAGCAATATTTAACGTGAGAAGCTTTTTTTAGTCAGTTTTATGTTTTATATTGTGTTGCTCGGTGCCTCTGTTTTTGTCAGCGTGTGTTTTGTGCCTTATGTTTGATTCTTTGCTCATTTAAAAAATAGTTTTAAAAAAATCAGTTGCAGTGCGGACCCCCCTGTTTCAGTGATGGTACGTTCCTGAGGGAAGAGAGGTATGTTTCTCTGTAGAACTGCAGTAAATAAAACGGATTACTGAATGATAGAAAACAGATTTATATGATTTCTCCTCGGACTGTACAAGATAAAGAGGTAATTAAACCAATTCTATCATCTGTCGCTCTGAAATGAGATCAGGTTTTCCTCTTTTGTGAGCTAAAAGTAGCCAGGTTGGCAGTTGCCAGCAAACATGCTAACGCAGCTAACGGAGCCTAGCAGCATTTTAGACAACCTGTCTGTGTTTAAGTTACGAAAAAATGATGTACACTAAAAATATTATACTTTCACCGCACGAAACGCCTTAACATCTATTTTATGCGCGAATCAGTGGTGGCTAAGGTAACGTTGGGTATCCACGGTAACCGTTTGAACTTAAACAACAATGCATTATGGGTAATGTAGTTTTAGGTACCATGTCTGTGATTAGTGCTCAGTTTGTGGTTCTTTTACCCAGAATATTGTGAAACTGTTATGGAATTTGACCGATTGTGAAAGAAAGCTTTAAATAACAAGATTCAGTTATGAATATATGTTTATTTTTGTGTCATGTTGTCAGTTGGTGAAGATGTTCAACAACTGTTAATAATAATTCTTTAGTAAAGAGAATTGTTCTGTTTAGAACCATGGGGTGCTATATAAAACCATTTCATGCTTAAATGGTTCTTTGCAGGGCGAAATGCTTCTTCAGACTGATGGAGAATGTGGTGTATACGGTTCTATATTAGTACCAAAAAGGGTTCTGCTGTTGTTGCAAGCTTCTCCATCAGACTGAAGAACCACCTCACCCTGCAAAAGCCATTTAAGGATGAAATGGTTCTATATAGAAGTCAAGGATCTGAATAGAAACATTCCCTTTACTAAAGAACCCTTGAAGAACCATCTTTTTAAGAGTGTACACCAAAGGTGTCCAAACTTTTTTCAAAGAGGGACTGAATGGACCTTATTAGAACCTGAGGGCTGGTCATTTTTTGCCAAATTATTATTCATAAATTAATTTTAAGGTATTCAGTGTACAAACAGCTGAATTTGCTCTGATTGATCTCTTTTTTTTCATATAATCAAGCAAGTTTTATGTCAGTTATTAACAAACTTTAAGAAAATACAGAGCATATGAAGTCTGGGCTGGGTTTAAATGGTCTCCTTGAATGGGGAACTGTTTGAACCCACTCGTGTTCCCAAAATGAAAAATTATTAGTTTTAATCATTGATAAACTTATGAACAACAGAAACACTTCACTTTAAAGGAATTAATAACACACTGGGAACCATTACTAATAAACATTTTTCATAATTTCAACATTTTATCCATTTAAGCTTGGGCTGTCTGTTCGACTAGTGAGTTAGTTGACGGTAAGTGTAGCATTTTTAGTCGGCTACTTATTATAAATTTTTCATATGTATTCAATTATTCACTTATTGCTTATTTTCACAAAGCTGTAAATATTTCTAGAAATAGAAGTTTCAGCCACGTAGCTGCTGGGTCTCGGTACAAGTTTAATCATCGTTTAGTTTTTCTAACAGTGTTGTTTATGTGCATCAGTCATGCTCTGGGTACTGAAGAGCAGATACACCATGGGAAAAATGGTGTAATATTTACCATTGACCATTAGTCAATGTTTATGTACATGGATGATGAATAAGATTGAAAATAAACTCTGTAAACAGCTCTTTATTTATTACCAGCGAGCCAGAGTGTTTATATTGTTTCCAGCCAAAGAAAATATATAAAACTCACCAAAATGCTTGAAAAAACACTCAAAAAAACACAAGATCAAAATCAGGTGGCGGGCAGCATTTCCACCATAACACTAGGTAATAGAGCATTTAAACAAACATGACATCAAGAAACTTTGCAGGTAACAATATAAGTTGTCACTAGATGGCACTGTTGGTCTTTTGTGTTTATTGTCACTGGAGCAAAGAACCAAAAGCTTATACCAGTGGTCATCAACCCTCCTCCTGGAGGTCTGCTTTCCTGCAGAGTTTATATCCAACCACAGTCTGCCACACCTGCTCCAGCTCATGAACTATTATAGAACCATCAAAAATGCTGCCTTATAATAACTGATACCTAATACTAATCCACCTGATCTAGCCAATCAAGAACTTCTGTAGTACCTGAGCTGGAGTAGGCATGGCAGATTGTGGTTGGAACTAGGAAGGTAGGTCACCAGGACCAGGGTTGGAGACCACTGACTTAGACTCCCTGTCAAACATCATCAAAGGTCTGGACATTACAAATAATTTCAATATAATAATAAAAGACATTTAAATGATTGATTTGCATATGTATCTTAATCCCACCACTTGCAGATGTTTGATTGTGTGGCACAAAACCATCATTTTGGCAACTTATACAATGCATTTGCAATATATATATGATAAGCATTGGCATCAGAAATCTAAATAAATAATAATATTGCAACCAATAGAAGTATAACTCATTGCTGTTGAACAAAACATCATATCTTCAAAATTGTAACTTGTAAATTTGTTTACCATTATAGTCAGTAATGCCGAGTGAACTGGATAATCAATGTTGTGTGTCGCCTTTGAGATACTGAACAGATGAGCACCTAGTAAAAAGTGACAGTCAAAGTGATACCTGAATGAATGTGGAGATATTTTAGGCCTAATCAAATTTAAGCTGCATTATTAAGCAACAATGTTTATTACTATTATATACTTGTTCAAAACCCACCAAAATCATGACAGACCTGCTCAAACTTTGTCCACCAGCCAAAACACTTTTCCCTCCCCAGTCCAACTACAATCCGCCCAAACCTGCCACTTAAATAATAGAAGAATGTGAGGCGTTGTTGCCGGCTACTTTTACTTTTTACTTTTGAACGTGCTCAAAAAGTGTAATCAAAACAGTTTACCGTTATGTGTAGTAATTCAGATTTCATATTCTGAAAGGACAACTCCAATTATATTTCTTCTTTTCAATGTTTTTCAGACATTCAGAGTTTTGACCAGACATATTCACTCCAGCACAGCGTGTTTTGTGAGACAGATCAGTAAAGATGTCTTATGTTAAAGAGGAATGTGAGGATATCAGTGTGATGGAGGCGACTGGACTGAAGATGGAAAATGAAGAGATGGAGAAAGGTCAGTATGGACTTCATGTGGATGAGATATATCAGTGGTTCTTGACTCAGAATCTCCAGACAGGCTGCGTTTTTACTCTTACCCAGTGATCGATCTCACTTGCCAGTCCCTCCAGAAATTTGCAATCACAAATTCACGTGTCACAGTATTTGCAAAGGCTTGCAGTTTTTTCCTGTCACTGCATTATCTCCATATTATATGTGGTAACTAGCACTGGGACGATGAGCATTTTGAAAAATCACTAAGTCAGGACTAAAAAGTTGATAAGTAGTGATATTTTTATTATTTAAAACTATGGGTATTCTACTGTAACATTCAGCACATCTAGGACATTTTCCCTTTGTGCCAGATGGGGGAGACAAAGCTCTATGGCCTCTTCACTCTGAGTCCAAGTTTTACAATAAATACATAAATACAATACAATACAATAGAACACAATAAAAACATTTTGAAATGTACATAACAACACTAAAGCTGTCTGTCATATTTTCATAGCTTCATAGCTCACAGTTCTTCAAAGTTTGTTTGCTTGTTTTAATGCTCAGAGCTCTTAGCTAAAGCAGAGCCTCAAACTCCTCCACACACGTACAGCTCTGTTGCAGAGCTTCAGCGATGAGTCACTAATTAACTTTTTAAAGTAGCCATCTGTGTCTTTCAAACTGGTAACTTTGTGAACTGGCTCCTCTCAGGGTGGAAGAGTAGTGGCTTTACTTTGAGCTCCTCACCCTTTCAAGTAGAGTGTAGCCTGCTACCCTGCGAAGAAAGCTCATTTCTGCCACTTGTATCTGTGATCTTATTCTTTCGGTCATTACCCAAAGCGTATGACCATAGATTAGGGTTGCGATGTAGACCGACCGGTAAACAGAGAGTTTTGCCTTATGGCTCAGCTCCCTCTTCACCACTACAGTCCAGCACAGCGACCATATTACTGCTGCCGCCTGACTCAGCCTGCGGCCGATCTCACGATCCCTCTTCCCATCACTTGTGAACAAGACACCGAGATACTTAAACTCCTCCACCTGGGGCAGGTCCTTTCCCCTTACCTAGAGTGGGCATGCCATCCTTCTCCAGGATAGGATCATGAACTCAGATTTAGATGTGCTGATCCGCATACCAGCCACTCCAGTGAGCACTGGAGGCATCCATTCGATGGAGAAAAAAGGACATTTTCATGATCATTCGCAAAAAGCAGAGATGCCACCCTCTGGCCACCACACATAAGTCAAGTCAAGTCAAGTCAAATTTATTTGTATAGAGCTTTTTACAACTGATGTTGTCACAAAGCAGCTTCACAGAAATCCATTAAAGACAAAGTTTTAACACGAAATGTAAATCCTCCAGGTGAGCAAGCCAGGGGCGACAGTGGCAAGGAAAAACTCCCTCAGAGCTGGGGAAGAAACCTTGGGAGGAACCAAGGCTCACAAGGGGGGACCCATCCTCCTCTGGTCAAAACTACTTACAAAATTATTATACTACTAATATTAATAGTAGTAGTAGTAGTAGTAGTAGTAATAGTTAGGAGTCATGAAAACTTCAGTGTAGAGTGGGCAGCTAGTCCAAGGCGGTAGCTGGGCAAGTGGCTGAAGCAGGTAGCAGGAGAGCTCCACAGACAATCATCCATCAGTGTCCGGCCGAACAGGTGGGCAGTCGTTTACTCGGAAAAAGGTAGGGAGATGGAGTTAGTTTTGTTCTGTATGGGTGTATGTATAATAATATGTAAGACATTTCCAGAGTGTGTCTAATGACTCCGGCAGATCTGACTATAACAGCTTAACTGTAAGGAGAGAACCAAAAGGACACACAGACACGGGAGCACCCTGAAACAATTTGGCATCCCTCCGCTCCACCGTCCACAAACCTGAGTGATCGCGTGCGAGCGGCGGGACGACAGCACCAGCGTCTCAGTTTACTATAATTCCCTGTGTCCATGGACCCCTGGATCTGCTGCCTTTATCCAAGGGGAAACATTAACTACCAAAAGCTAAACTAAACAAGTAAGTTTTCAGCCTAGATTTGAAGATTGCGACTGAGTCTGAGTCCCGAACATTTTCTGGAAGATCATTCCAGAGTTTGGGGGCTTTATAAGAAAAGGCTTTTCCCCCAGATGAAGCCTTCTGAATTCTGGGAACTATTAAAAAGCCAGCACTCTGTGATCTGAGTAATCGTGGTGGCTCGTAATGGGAAATAAGGTCTTGCAGGTACTCAGGAGTGAGCCCATGTAGGGCTTTATACGTCAATAAAAGAATTTTGTAATCAATACGGAATTTACCAGGCAGCCAATGAAGTGATGATAGAACTGGGCTGATATGATCACATTTTCTAGTTTTAGTGAGGACCCTGGCTGCAGCATTTTGAACTAGTTGAAGTTTACTTAAATTCCTGCTGGTGCATCCTGACAGTAGTGCATTACAGTAGTCTAGCCTTGAAGTAATAAATGCATGTACTAATGTTTCTGCATCATGCAGTGATAAGGCATTTTCTTATTTTGGCGATGTTGCGAAGATGTAAAAAAGCTGTCCTAGTGATACTGCCTATGTGTTGATCAAATGATAAATCTGGATCAATAATGATGCCAAGATTTTTTGCTGCTGAACCAGGTATAACTGGAAAGTCAGCAAGATTTAAAATTAAATCTGATAATTTATTTTTTGCCACTTTTGGACCCAGAAGGAAAACCTCTGTTTTGTTACTGTTTAGAAGGAGGAAGTTACGCAACATTCAACCTTTCACGTCCTTTACACAGTCCTCTATTTTCTTTAACCTGTATTTGTCATCAGGCTTGGCTGATATGTACAATTGCGTATCGTCTGCGTAACAGTGAAAGTTAATGCCATGGTTACTTATAACTGTGCCTAACGGTAACATGTATAATGTAAATAATAATGGTCCTAAAATAGAGCCTTGCGGAATTCCAAATCTTACTTTTAAATAATTGAAAGATAAATCGTTTACCTTTACGAACTGATAACATTGCGTTAAGTAAGATTTGAACCATGATAGGGCGGTCCCTGTGAATCCAACCATGTTTTCTAACCTTTCTAGGAGAATATTGTGGTCTATCGTATCGAAAGCTGCGCTGAGGTCAAGTAGCACCAACAGGGATATGTAGCCTTGATCAGAAGCAAGAAGAAGATCATTTGTTATCTTAACTAGAGCTGTCTCAGTGCTGTGATGTGGCCTGAATCCAGATTGGAATTTTTCATATATGTGGTTCTTATGTAGATATGAACTAAGTTGTTGGGCTACAGCTTTTTCTAAGATCTTAGATATAAATGGTCGTTTAGAAATAGGCCTGTAATTAGACAATACGCAGCGTCAAGGTTTGGTTTCTTGATCAGAGGTTTAATAACTGCTAGTTTAAAAGCTCTGGGTACATGGCCCAGGCTAAGGGACGAGTTTACTATAGTTAAAAGAGGATTAATGATAACTGGTAGTACTTCTTTGAGTAATTTTGAGGGAATTGCATCAAGTGTGCAGGTTGTACAATTTGCAGAGGAGATAATCTTCTCTAGTTCAAACTGTGGGAGTGGGTAGTTTCCAGCCTTTTTTCTGCAACTGTGTTATGTTTTATATCAATACTGTGGGTTGAATTTGTTGTCTAATATTTTCGATTTTATTATTAAAAAAGTCCATAAAAACATAACTGGTGAGAGTCGCCGGAATTTGTGGTTCAGTACCTGCCTGATTTTTTGTCATTCTGGAAATCACACTAAACAGTACTCTAGGATTATATTTATTATACTTGATCAGCTAGGCCAGATATGCTGAGCAAGCTTTAGTGAGAGCATTTCTATACTCTATAAGGCTTTCCTTCCAGGCAAATTAGAACACTTCTAGCTTGGGTTTTATCACTGTACCATGGGGCAAGCTTTTTCTGTCTTATCCTTTTTATTTTAAATGGCACCACATTTTCTAAAGTAGATCGAAAGGTATTTTCTAAATAGTCAGTTAGTACATCTAGCTCCATTGGGTCTGACGGAGTGGAGATTAAGCTTGTTAGTTCTGGGAGGTTTTCTACGAATTGTAGGGCGGTAAATAGTTTGATTGAGCGCTTTGTAAAATAGCGAGGGGACGTACATATATTATGGCTAAGACGTAGCTCATAAGAAATTAAGTAATGGTCGGAGATTGCTGAGGTTTGCGGTAGGATACTAAGCCTGTCTATGTTAAGCCCGGGTGTCAGAACTAAGTCTAAAGTGTGACTACAGTAGTGTGTAGGCCCTGTTACATTTTGGGTAATACCAACAGAGTCTAGGATTGAAGTAAATTTTTAGTGGGTCATCTGCCTTCTCAAAATGGATATTAAAATCTCCTGCAATTATTACTTTATCATTGCACACAGCTAGGTTTGCAGCGAAATCACTAAATTCTTTTAAAAATTCTGAGTAGGGCCCTGGTGGTCTGTAAATGTTAAATAATGAAAATGCATTTTTTTTTGTTGCCGGATTTGTAATGTTGATGGAAAGAGCCTCAAAAGAAGTGAAGGTGTCACATTGTTTCTGACAGATATCTAGGGTATTCTGGTAGATTACACATAATCCACCTCCTTTGCCTGATAATCTTGGGCTGTGTACATAATTATAGCCTACAGGGGTGGCTTCATTTAGTGCTGAATGTTCAGCCTGTCTAACCCATGTTTCGGTGGGACAGAAAAGGTCAAATTTATGATCACTTATAATTTCATTTACGATGACTGCTTTTGAATTTAGTGATCTTATATTGAGTAACCCAAATTTTAGAATTGAGGTGTTGCTGCTATCATCTGAATACGACTTAATATTGATTATGTTGTTGAAACAGGCTGATTGAGTTTTTCTACGTTTAGATTTTAATTCGGGGCAAAGACACAGTCTCAATACAGTGGAACCTAGGTGACGCCTCAAGGCAATTCGCAGACGGTCGTTTTAGCCTGTCCAGAGCACATTATGGCATCTGACATCATCTGGGCCAGTTTAATCACCTCTCTAATTTTACCCTTAGTTTCCTCAGATTGCTGCAGACGAATATCATTGGCCCCTACATGGATGACTATCCTCGAATATCTCTTATTAGCTAACAGTCTAAGGTTGCCACTAATGTCCGGCGCTCTGGCTCCCAGTAAACAGCTGTTACTGCTGGCGCTCCTAAAGGAGTAGCTAATTTCACGTGTCGAACGATCGAGTCTCCTATAACCAGAGCACTTTTAACAGGCTCCTCAGCGGGTGTTTCGCTGAGCGGGGCAAACCTGTTTGACACACGAATCGGAGAAGTGTGGTGTTGTGGTGGGCTAGCTTTGGCCTCAGCGTTAGCATTAGCCTTAGCTTTCTGGCTATGTCGTCGAGACGTTACCCATTCATCCCGCTGTGAGGGCTCTAACGCCGGAGTCGAGGGGGTGCTGACTCTCCCTAAGGCACCCGGAGCTGCTAGCAGTGAATCTCGCTGTCTGTCCCTTAATAAATCCCGGATGCGCACCTCTAGCTGGTCCACCTTATCCACCAGAGAGCTAACTAGCTGGCACTAGCCACTATCATTATCGCTAGAGGTGGAAAAGGGGATTAAACTAAACATGCCACACTCTGAGCAGGCAAAGAAACCAGCAGTAGCCATGATATTGCAGGAACTTACTGCTTTTGGTTGATTTAGGAACTTAGCAGGAAGATAGCGCTGGAGCGGTGGGTCGGCGGTCTGTCCTCCGTTTGTCCCCCACAGCACTGCTGTGTCTGATAATGCCCTCCTGACTTCAGCTACGCCTTGGCACTCTGTCCATGAATATCAGGAGTAGGAGTGGAAACACAGGACAACCTTGTCCAACACTCACACTGAAAGAGTTTGACTTAACGCTGAGTATACAGACGCAAGTCTCACTCCGGAAGTACAGAAACCAAATGGCTCTGGTACCCCATACTCCCGGAGGACCTCCCACAGATTGTCTTGGGGAACCTGGTCATAAGCCTTCTTTAAGTCCACAAAACACATGTAGACTGGGTTGGCAAACTCCCCTCAACAGTCTGCATGAGAGTGAAAAATTGGTCCATTATTGGTTGGAGCCTCCTTTTCAGCAGCTTGGCATAAACTTTCCCAGGGAGGCTGAGCAGTGTGATACCTCGTTAATTGGCACATGCTCTCTGGTCCCCTTTCTTAAATATAGTGACCACCACCCTTGTACGCCAGTCCGAGGGTACTGTTCCCAAGGTCCATGCGACATTGCAGAGGCATGACAGCTCCACAATATCCATAGCCAAAGCATTATCAGGCGAATCTCATCTGCCCCAGTGCCTTGCCACCAAGGACCTTGCCAACTACCTCAGTGACCTCCACCAAGGAAATAGAGTCTGACACACCAGAAGCCTCAAAGTGCTCCTTCCACTGACCAACACTATCCTCCTTCGAAGTCAGAGTTTCTCCATCCCCACTGAGTAAAGCTTGAGCAAAGCTTCTCTGACCGCTTCTGTTCTGGATTTTGCTTCAGTCACCACCGCTGCTGCCTTTTTGCCCATCGGTACCTATCTGCTGAGTTGGGAGTCCTCTGGGCCCACAAGTTCCTAAGGGCCTCCTACTCAGCTTGACGGCCTCCCTCACCACCGGTGTCCACCAGAGGGTTCTTGGGTTGCCACCCTGACAGGCACCAATAAGCTTTTGGCCATAGCCACGCCTGGCAGCTTCCACAATGGAGGTTTTGAACAGGATTCGTTCAAACTTCCCCTGCCTGTCCCCTACCTCCTCCAGAACATGAGAAAAGTTCTCCTGGAGGTGGGAGTTAAAATAATTCAGAGTCTGTAGGTTGGGTCCTGCACTCACTCCAAGAAGGCAGAATACTCCAAACTGTTGTTTGGTGCGTAGGCACACACAACAGTCAGAGTTTTCCTCCCTGTGAGTTTTATTCACATTGAACAATTTCCAACTACACAGCAGCCGGTGGCTTGTGAGTATCCCCATACCCGCACAGGGCCACTCACCCCGTGCAACTCCTGAGCAGGAGAGAGACCAACTCCTATCAAGGAGTTTTGTTCCAGAGCCAACACTGTGAGTGTGAGTGAGCCCAATTATATCTAGTAGGTACCTTTCAAACTGCCGCACAAGCTCCAGCTTCTTCCCCACCAGTGAGGTTACATTCCACACGCCAAGAGCCAGTTTCTGCCACAGGGGTACGTGCCACCAAGGACCTCCCTGCCATCTCCCATAGCCTATATGGCACTGCACCCGTCTGCCATGCTGGCCCTTGCGGGTAGTGGGCCCACATGGTCCCCCCACGTTGCCTTTTTGGGGTGAGCCCAACCAGGTTACGTGGGCTGCCTGGCTACTGGGCACTTACCAAGGAACACTACCCCCAGGCCAGGCTCCAGTTTTAGGTCCCGGTAACCCTCTCCCAGGCAGGGTACCCAGTATCTTGTGTTTCGTGATCATGGGGGGTTTTGGATGAAACATGCTGTTTTTCACTTTACAAACGCAAATACACATTTTGCAATTATGTTTAAATTGTGTCTTAAATGATGCACAGTCACATAGGAAATCCAATTGTACATATAATATTTAATTAGCATTTTCACATTTGCGTTTGAAAAAAGTTTGTAATATGCTGCCATAGGCATGCACACTGAATCTAAACCAGAGTTAACAGAGAAAGTTGTTAACAGCCATCATTCAAAATGCATGAATCAAGATTGTGTTTGTTAGGTTTAGTGAAACAAACTTATTCAGGAACAGAACTTTGGTCTATAGTGTTTGTATGACTTGGCTATGACCCACATCAACCTTTTCTGTCATTATAGAACATATATTCCAAGAAGACATTAAAGAGGACTTCAAACTGGAAGTGGAGCTATTCGAAGAAGAATGTACCGCACAGAAATTAGATCAAACCGCTCAGCATGAAAGAAGCTTCAGTGAGTCCTCCCAACAAAAAGATCACCTGAGAATTCATACTGGAGAAGAAACTTTCAGCTATTCACAGTGTGGGAAGAGCTTCACCTCTGAGAGTGCTCTGAAATGCCACATGGACGTCCATGAAGGAACGAGTTCTCATCAGTGCTCTCAGTGTGAGTGGAGTTTTGAACATTTTACAGATTTAGAACAACACGAAAAGACTCATACTGGAGAAAATCTGTTCGCCTGCTCTGAGTGCGGAAGAAGTTTTACGACGTCAAAAAACCTCAAAGTTCACATGGTCATACATACTGGGAAAAAACCCTTCACCTGCACTCACTGCGGAAAAGGTTTTTCAACAGCAAGCTACTGTAAAACCCACATGATGATTCATACTGGAGAAAAGCCTTTCAGTTGCTCCCAGTGTGGGAAGAGTTTTTTGACCTCAGCCCACTATAAAACCCACCTGATGATTCATACTGGACAGAAACCTTTTGTCTGCTCTGAGTGCGGAAAAGTTTTCTTAACGTCAGGCCACCTTAAAACCCACATGATGATTCATACCGGACAAAAGCCTTTTACCTGCACTCAGTGTGGGAAGAGTTTTGTATGTTTTGCAGAGTTAAAAGCCCACCAAAGGATTCACACTGGAGAAAGGCCTTTTGTCTGTTCTCATTGTGGAAAGACATTTAGAGTAAAAAGAAACTTAAAATTCCACATGATGATTCATACTGGAGAAAAGCCGTTTTCCTGTTCCGAGTGCGGAAAAACTTTTTCAAACTCAAGCCACCTGAAAGCCCACATGAAGATTCATACTGGAGAAAAGCCTTTTACCTGCACTCAGTGTGGGAAGAGTTTTTTTACATCAGCTCACTACAAAACCCACATGATGGTTCATACTGGATTAAAACCATTTGCCTGCTCTGAGTGTGGAAAAGGTTTTTCAAAAACAAGCGATGTTAAAAGACACATGATGACTCATGCTGCAGAAAAGCCTTTTACCTGTTCGGAGTGCGGAAAAGGTTTTTTAATGTTAAGCAACCTTAAAACCCACATGATGATTCATACTGGAGAAAAGCCTTTTACCTGCACTCAGTGTGGGTCAGGTTTCACCACTCCAAGTGCTTTAGCAGGTCACATGTACATACATACAGGAAACAAACCTCATCAGTGCTCACAGTGCGAGAAGAGCTTTGTACGTGTTTCAGAGTTAAAACTACACCAAAGAATTCATACTGGAGAAAGACCTTTCATCTGTTCTCAGTGTGGAAAGACATTTAGAGTAAAAAGAAACCTTCAACTCCACATGATGATTCATACCGGAGAAAAGCCGTTTTCCTGCTCTGCGTGCGGAAAAGCGTTTTCAAATGCAAGCCACCTGAAATCCCACATCATGATTCATACCGGAGAAAAGCCTTTTACCTGCACTCAGTGTGGAAAAGGTTTTTCAACATCAACTCATTACAAAACCCACATGAACACTCATACTGGAGAAAAGCCATACACCTGCACTGAGTGTGGAAAAAGATTTTCAAAATCGAGTGACGTTAAAAGACACATGATGATTCATACTGGGGAGAAGCCTTTTGTCTGTTCTAAGTGCGGAAAAGGTTTTTCAGTATCAAGTCACCTTAAAGGCCACATGGTGATTCATACACGGGAACAGTTTTTTAAATGCTCTCAGTGTGGAAAGACTTATAAGAGTCAGAAAGCATGTCAGAAGCACATGATGGTTCACACACAGTGAAGCCTTTTTCTTTGGATGAAGTGTTGGAGACAGGCTTGCCTCTGCAAATGCGCAGAAATCTGAAAATATCATATATAACATAACATACTGGATAAATAATTGTGTTTATTTGAGTCATTTATGCTTAAGGTACACTATGTGGCCAAAAGCACATAAGCACCTGACCATCACACCTGTATGAGCTTGTTGGACATCCCATTCCAAAACCATGGGCATTAATATGGAGTCACCCCCCTTTCGTGGCTATAACAGCTTCCACTCTTCTAGGAAGGTTTCCCCAAAATTTTGGAATGTATTTGTGGGAATTTGTGCCCATTCAGTCAAAAGAGCATTTTTGAGGTCAGAACCTGATGTTGGACGAGACGGTCTGGCTCAAAATCACCGTTCCAGTTCATATCAAAGGTGTTCAGTGGTGTTGAGGTCAGGGCTCTGTGCAGGCCACTGGAGTTCCTCCACACCAAACTGGTCACTCCATGTCTTTATGGAGCTGCTTTGTGCACTGGGGCTCAGTCATGCTGGAACAGGAAAGCTCTTCCCCAAACTGCTGACACAAAGCTGGAAGCAGATAACTGTGTAAAATGTCTTTGTGCTGCAGCATCAACATCATCCTTCACTGGAACTAAGGGACCCTGAAAAACAGCCCAGCCCATCATCCCTCCTCCACCAAACTTTACTGCTGACACTCTGCATTCCGGTAGGTAGCGTTCTCCTGGCATTCGCCAAACCCAGATAGTGAACCATGATTCATCACTCCAGAGAACACGTTTCCACTGCTCCAGAGTCCAGTGGCGGCGCTTTACACCACTCCAGCCGAGGCTTGGTGTTGTGTATAGAGATCTTAGGCTTGTGTGCAGCTGCTCAGACATGGAAAACCATTTGCATGAAGCTCCTGACCACAGTTTTTGTGCTGATTTTGCTTCCAGAACGTATACACCCGCTAGCAATTGGTGTGAGGTGTTCACATGGACACTTAAAAGATGGTTCTTCAAGGGTTCTTTAGGAAAGGCAATATTTCTGTTTAGAACCATGAGATCTTAATAGAACCATTTCATACTTAAAGCGTTGCATGATGAAATGGTTCTTCAGATTGATTGAGAATGTGTCGTATATGGTTCTATGTAGAACCTTTTTGACAATGGCTTGATATCTTAACAGTAGCAGAACCTTTGAAGAACTATCATCTTGAAGTGTGTTCTTTTGGTCTTATAGAATACTTATAAAAGGAACTTGTTTGTTGAAATCAAAAGTATTATCTTGTAAAAGTATTTTACTGCAGACAATGCTGGCACAAATACAGCTGATATTGCAACTATAGCCTGTTTTAGTGTTTTTGTTATGGTCCAAAAAAAAAAAAAGATCTGGATGCAAATATTGAAAAAGCAGACTTATACACACGTGATGCTTTTATTATTATGCATGATCAGCAATCATATACATTCTTTGTCATGCAAGCTGTATTGTTTGTTGCATAAAATTTGCAAAGTTTATAAAATAAAGTTTGTAAAATCCTCTTTTTATGCAACGTTTTATTTTACAGTAATAATGAATGTTGCATGTCTGCGTAAATTGTATTTGTAATTGTATCCACAAAAGCTCCCAATATGTTAAGAACTGTTAAATAGGTCTCAGTAATCTGGGTTAGTTTGCACTATGGCAACTTATCAATTAAAGCTACAAATGCCTTAAAGTTTGTCCACAAACTATAATTTATACTAAAATAATAACATATACTCTTCCGCCCAATGACAGCTGGGATAGGCTCCAGCACCCCACCGTGACCCAGAAGGATAAGCGGTTTAGGTGATGTATGTATGTATGTATGTAATAACATATACTTGATGACCAAGTAGCCTATGTATGGAAAGCAATGTTGATTCATATTGGGGAAAAGCCTTATTTTGCACCCAGTGTTGGAAGAGTATTTTCATACCGGCCCACTATAAAGCCCACTTGATGATTCATACTGGAGAAAAGCCTTTTATCTGTTCACAGTGTGAAAAGACACTTTTTATTTTTGGCAATTCCAGCCAGTATTTATGTCTCCCCCAATCACACGATACTATCAGTGCTAAGATGGTGAAGGCTAGCCGCTAATGCAAAGTTACTGGACAACGCAACACGCTTGGAGGAGAGCACCAAGCGGCAGTTTGGGAAGAGAGCGTGAGGCCAATTGTGCGCCCTTCGACTCCTGGCCACACCCGGCTGTAGCATTATCAGGGATCAAACTTGTGATGTCCTAATGACAGTTATAGACTTAGACAGTTGTACCACTCAGAGGTCATGACTGATTAAAAACCCAAACAATGATTCATACCGGAGAAAAGCCATATACCTGATCTCAGTGAGGAAAAGGTTCTTAAAAAATTGGCCAACCTTAAACTTGATGATTCATACTGGTCTAAAGGCTTTACCTGTTTTCAGTGTGGAGAGAAATTCTCAACATTGACTTTAATATTTACATGAGGATTCATACAGGAGTAGAAACTGAATTAAATGGTAGATCAACGTCAGAGATTCAAAGTACTAATGAGTAGTAACAAATGAATGCACACTAGCCTAAAATATAGATACTAAGATGATGATGATTAAAATAATAAAAACAACAATAATAATTACAATATTGTTGCTATTCTTATTTGTGGTTTTTATTATTGTACTGTAAAAACTGTATATTTACTCTTAAGTTACATCTGTTCTGCTTGGTTCCAAAAAGCTCAAAATTGGATTCACCATTTCCTCAAAAATTAAGGTAACAGTGCAATAACATATTTTGATAAAATCAATGGGTTTCTATGTCTGAGGATGGTAAGATATAAGTAACTATGTGGACCCCCCTGTTTCAGTGATGGTATGCTCCTAAAGGAAAGAACATGTAGAGGAGATTAAGATATCAGTAACTATGCGGACCCCCCTGTGTCAGTGATGGTACGTTCCTAATGGAAGAGAGGTAACCTGTTTCTCTGCAGTAAATAAAACTAAAGACTTTTAAAGTCTACAGAGCCGTTTTCTATGATTTCTCCTGCGACTGTGCGGGTAAAGTGGTAGTTAAACTAATTCCACCAACTATCGCTCTTAAATTAGACTAAGTTTCCTCTTTTGGTAAAAGTATCCAGGTTAGCAGGTGCTAGTAAACATGCTAACGGAGCTAACGGAGCCTCGCAGTTTTGTAGTGAATCTGTCTGTGTTTGAGTTACGAAGAGAAACGGTTCACTGAAAATGCGCTTATTATCACTGTAAGAACGTTTATAACATCTATTTTATGTGATAAACAGTGGTGGCTAAGCTAAAGCTACCCAAGCTGTATCCACGGTAACAGTTCAACGTGAAGACGCGCGTTCACAACAATGCATTATGGGTAATGTAGTTTTAAGACTCAAAACTGAACACGGAGGCTAAATTTGCTTCCTCTACCCGCAGTATTGTGAAACTATACAATGACAGACTGTGAAAGTTTGTTATAACGCATTTTTGTGTATGAATTTAAGATTTAGCTCATTATGGATGTTGTAAAGATGCACTGGAGGCCAGTATTAGTTAAACTAAGCTTTCAACATGGACCTGTATTATGTAGAACTAGCTGGGTAATCAAACAGAGTAGTGTAAGGTTAGTGTTGTCACCTACACTCACTACAGAATGAACAGTTTCACATACATTTTTGTTACTTTTTATGTTTCTTACTATTTTTATTAGTGACTTCAAGTCAGTTTTGACTCCTAGCGACTGTATGGACGGTGTTTCTCCAGAATATTCTGTCTTCTCTTTGGGTCTTCAGGTTTCTGAATGAATAAGAGCTTCAGTTTGGTTATCTGGGCTTCGAATGAGAGATGGGGATCCATTCATTTGTTTTCTTTTTCATCCAAGGTTCTCTCAGAAGTCTTCGCCAACACCAAAGTTCAAAGGTTTCTATATGTTTCCAGTCTTGCTTGTTTATCCATTCTTAAAGACCCACAGAGAAGACCACAGCCTGGACAATGCTGATCCTTGTAGAGACGAATTGTTGCATCTGAAGATCTTTTCAAGCTCCTTCATCCGTGTCCTGCCGAGTGCCAACCTGTGTCGAATTTCTCAACTCCTAGATTCTCAGTAATTGATCTGAGTTGGCAAAAGCTGTCCACCATTTACACATCTTCTCCATCAGTGGTAAAGCTATCAGTCTTTCCTGTCTAATAACTAATTGAATGTCTGGTCTAAACCAACCAACAGAGTTCACGAAACTTACTAAATTAATGACAGACCAGCTCTTTGTCCACCCACCAAAGCACAACCAAATACTACCCAAACATTGCTTACAGCACAACTTTGATAAGATGTAGGTTGACCACTTTCAAATATGCAAGTGCGTGAGGCGTTGCCATTGGCTACTTTTCGCCAGCCATGCTTAAAAAATGTGATTAAAACATTTAACGTTATATGCAGGAGTTCAGATTTCATATTCTGTCATGTTTTGAAAATACTCTGTCAACAATAAACCCAAAAATAGACTGTTGTTAATATGTGTTGTTCTCTATGAATGAGGTTCTGCAGTTACTGTTTACTTTCAGTTTCAGTTTCAGGGCCGGTTTTCCCGAAAACATCTTAGTACAAAGATACCTGTTAAATGTTTGGACGAGCCTCACACTGAACACTCTCTCTACCAGTTAAGATGATTCTAACACTAAGATGTTCTTGGGAAACCCAGCACAGAGGGTTTGAGAGCGACACTCGCAGCTTATCAGATTCTTCTTTTTCCTTTTTTTCAGTCACTCCAGCACTGTAAGTTTCATGAGGCAGTTCTGTGAAAATGTCCTGCGTTAAAGAGGAATGTGAGGACATCAGCGTCATGGAGGCGTCTGGACTGAAGACTGAAGACGAGGAGATGAAGAAAGGTCAGTGTGGACTTTGTGTGGACAAGATAGATCAGTGGTTCTCAACTCAGTGCTCAGAATCCTCCAGACAGTCCATGTTTTTGCTGTAACGTCACTTCCAGTACACCTGACCCAGCGGCCGCTCTCACAAAGCAGGGTTTCTTGCCAGTACTTAAATTCTTAAATTAACGCAAGCATCACAGAATTTGCAAAGCTGGCAGTTTGTCCAGTCACTGCATTATTTCCACATTATATTTGATAGTTTGAGCTGGATGTGATGAGCAGTTTTGAAAAATTTTAATTCAGGATAAAATAGTTGAGAAAGACTAATACATTTGTTATTTAAAACTATGGGTATTCTACTGTAACATTCAGTATATTGGGGCAGTTTCTCTTTGCGCCAGATAGGGGGGGCCAAAGCTGTATGGCCTTTTCACTTAGAGTCCCAGTTTTACGAACCAAAAAACCAATAAATAGATACATGAATACAAAAAAACAGAATAGAACACTATAAAAACATGTCTAAATTTACACATCAACACTAAAGATGTCTCACATCCGAGCTCACGGTTCTTCATGGTTCATTCGCTTGTTTTAATGCTCAGAGCTCTGAGCTTGAACTCCTTGACACAAAGCATTGCTGCGGAGCTTCAGCTGCATCTTTCAAACGGACAAGTTCGTTACTAGTTGATGAAACCATCTTTTTTGCTTTTCTTTATCTTCCTCCTGCGTGTTTTTAAGAAGGTCATTGCACTAAAAATCACATCTGTTTTTTCATCCTCACGGTCAATTAAATGTTAAACTAACTAAAGTTGAGATACAACAACTGCGATGAATTTTAAACTTGTATTAAATCAGGGTTTATCTGTCATTCCTGTTGTACCAAATTTTAAACCTACACTCTTAAAAAAAAAGGTTCTTCAAGGGTTCTTTAGTAAAGAAAAAGGTTCTAAACAGATCCATGAACATTCACAGAATTTTGCATGATTAAAGGATTCTTTACATTGTGAAAGTGTTCATCAGATTGAGGAGAATGTGCTGTAGATGGTTCTATATAGAAGCCTTTTGAAAAGGGTTCTATATGGCACCAAAAAGGGTTCTTCTATTGTTACAAGTGTTCATGGTTCTATATAGAACCATTTTCTTTACTAAAGAACTCTTAAAGAACCATTTTGAGTGTATGGTCTTATAAAAGATGGTTCTTCAAGGGTTCTGTAGTAAAGCAGGTGGTTCTATATAGAACCATGAACACTAATAGAACGATTTGCATGCTTTTTTTAAAAAGGTTCTATATAGCGCCAAAAGGGGTTATTCTATTGGTACATCTTTCACCATAACAAAAACAGAACCCTTTTTGGTGTTACATAGAACACTTTTCAAAAAGTTTCTGTATAGAGTCATCTCCAGCACATTGTCCATCAATCTGAAAAACCATTTCATGATGCAAAGAACCCTTTAAGCATGAAATGGTTCTTTGAGTGTTCATGGTTCTATACAGAAACATTTTTTACTAAAGAATCCTTGAAGAACCATCTTTTTTAAGATTGTAGTGTAAAATTAGGATTACTTTTAATCCCCCATTTTAATCCTGAATTACTTTTATAGTAAATCTAAATTAAATTAATCTTTTTGTACCTTTACTTTAAACTGAGATTTAATTCAGGGATTAAATTTAATCTTCCAACTTAAGTAGTTTAAATTTACTAAGTATGTTTAAAATGGGTGTTCCTCAGAACCTCACCTCAGAAAACTTGTACACGCTCACTTACTGATGGTTAACTATTCTGCCCACAAGGGGGAGCTAGTAGCACTTGAGTAAGGTATATGCGCATCACTGAAATAGAGTCGACCCACACCAGCAGGATCTCACTGATACAGGAATGAAGTAAAAAGCTGAAGACTAAATAACTCCATGTGAGAACGGAGTAAACCACACTCTTAAAAAAGATGGTTCTTCAAGGGTTCTTTAGTAAAGAAAATGTTTCTATACAGAACCATTACCTCTCACAGAAACCTTTGCATGATTAAAAGGTTCTTTGCATCATGAAAGCGTTCTTCAGATTAATGGTAAATGTGCTGTAAATGGTTCTATATAGCATCTAAAAGGGTTCTTTTATTGTTACGATGTCAAGCTTGTAACAATAGAAGAACCCTTTTGGGTGCTATATAGAGCCCTTTTCAAAGAGTTTCTGTATAGAACCATCTATAGCACATTCATGCACATTCTCCATCAATCTGAAGAACCTTTTCATGATGCAAAGAACCTGACTGACCAAAAAATCTGCAGACTAGAGCCGACCAGCTCAGGCTCGGACTGAGAATCGGGGCTAAAATCGTGTAGCGTAAACGCTACTTTAACCCTGTGTAAGTTAATCCTTGTTGGTGCCGCCAACCCTCAGGATGAAAATACTGTTTCTGATGACGTTTTTTCTCCGTGCACCCGCATGACGCCTCACCCACAAGACTGGAGTTTTAGATCATGGATCGGACTGCAAAACACTCACGCTTACAAAATAGAAAACAAATTTCTACATATAGATTTCATGACCGTTACCAATACGTTAATAACTAGAACTAGCTCTAGCAGTAGTAATGCACTGAATAGAAAAGATACAGCCGTATGCAAAAGTTTGGGCACCCCAAATCAAATTCCATGGTTAGTTTCTAAGTGTGAATAAGTGAACACATCCGGGACAGAGAACACACTTCTACACATTCTAATACGTAATTACTGTTTATTTACTGAATTTAACATACTGGAAAAAAATAACACTTAAAATGTGGCCAGTGCAAAAGTTACGGCACATTTTATATTTTATGTATTGTATTTTTCTAGTATGTTCAATTTAGCAAATAAATAGAAATCGTGCACCAACATTTAACTGTGTTCTATTTAGAGGATGTGTTCACTTATTTTCTTCAACAAAAGGTAATTTGACGAGCGGGTGTTTAGACTTTCCACATGGCTGTAACTGTGTTCTGACCTTGGATTTTCAATGGTGGATCACTTTTTACTGGGCTACTTCACCATAGCAACTTAAGTCGCACACCTAACCTGCTCCAGGGCCTGTTAAGTTCAGGATTTCGGATCATAAATGGCACTTTGACCAATCACGACCGAGCTTCTCACCAATCAGGGAAAGCCTTCTGATGGAGGAGGACCCCTGAGGTCCTTTTCAGGTCACTTATTTTTCCTTTGTGACATTTGAGATGCCAGTCATGTCAAAAATATCACTTTTCAGTAGAGAAAACAAATCATACTACACAGATATGAAGCATGTAAAGCAGTTATTATTCCAAGAAGCACTAACACACTGTCAGTGGAGACAGCACTGCTTTTACCGATTACGTCATACGATTTATTTGTTTCCTTTGTTGAGAAATAAGCAACTGGACTGCTCCTCAAGTTTCATGCTGTTGGCTGTTTGTCTTAAACTTCACACTTTGGTGTGCATGCATGCTAGTTTAATCACAGCCTGAGCATCTAAACCAGAGTTAAGAGAGACAGTTTCTAATCTCCATCATAAAAATCTGTTATATTCAGAAGCAGTTTTAATGTTTCAGTTACAGCTGTTATTTCAACACAATTGAACAATAGTGGTTTTACATATGAATAACATGCCCTCTTCTTTTATTATAGAACAAAGTTTCCAAGATGACATTAAAGAGGAGTTCAAACAGGAAGTGAAGTCATTTGAGGATGAATATTGTGTGTGGAAATCTCAGCAAACTGGTGATTGTGAAGAGAACAGTGATTCCCCCGATCAGAAAGATCACCTGAGAATTCATACCGGAGAAGAAGCTTTCAGCTGTTCACAGTGTGGGAAGAGCTTCACCTCTGAGAGAGCTCTGAAATGTCACATGGACGTCCATGACGGAACGAGACCTCATCAGTGCTCTGAGTGTGAAAAGAGTTTCAAACTTCCAAGAGACTTAAGACGACACAAGAAGATTCATACTGGAGAAAAGCCATTCACCTGCTCTAAATGCGGTAAAGGTTTTACAACCTCACAAAACCTTAAAGTCCACATGACAGTACATACTGGGAAAAAAGCCTTCATCTGCACTCAGTGTGGAAAAGGTTTTTCATCACCAAGCTACCGTAAAACCCACATGATGATTCATACTGGAGAAAGGCCTTTTACCTGCACTGAGTGCGGAAAACATCTTTTAACGTCAAGCCTCCTTAAAGTCCACATGAGGATTCATACCGGAGAGAAGCCATTTACCTGCTCTGAGTGCGGAAAAGGCTTTTCGATTTCAAGCCACCTTAAAACCCACATGATGATTCATACTGGACAGAAACATTTTACCTGCACCGACTGTGGAAAACAGTTTTTAAGGTCAAGCCTCCTTAAAACCCACATGATGATTCATACCGGAGAGAGACATTTCACCTGCGCTATGTGCGGAAAACAATATTTAAGGTCAAGCCACCTTAAAACCCACATGATGACTCATACTGGAGAAAAGCCTTTTACCTGCACTCAGTGTGGGAGGGGTTTTGTGAGTTTTGCAGAGTTAAAAGCACACCACGGGATTCACACTGGAGATGGGTCTTGTGCCTGTCCTCTGTGCGGAAAGACCTTGAGGCATAAGACGAGTCTCAAATTCCACATGATGATTCATACTGGAGAAAAGCCGTTTTCCTGTTCCGAGTGCGGAAAAGGTTTTACAAAATCAAGCCACCTGAAAGCCCACATGTTGATTCATACCGGAGAGAAGGCTTTTTCCTGCACTCAGTGTGGGAAGAGCTTTTTTACATCATCTCACTACAAAACCCACATGATGATTCATACTGGAGAAAAACCATTTGCCTGCTCTGAGTGCAAAAAAGGTTTTGCAAAATCAGGTGACCTTCAAAGACACATGATGATTCATACTGGAGAAAAGCCTTTTACCTGCTCGGAGTGCGGAAAAGATTTTACATTGTCAGGTCACCTTAAAACCCACATGAAGATTCATACTGGAGAAAAGCCTTTTGCCTGCACTCAGTGTGGAGCAAGTTTCAGCACTCCAAGCGCCTTAGCAGGTCACCAGTACATACATACCGGAAACAAACCCCATCAGTGCTCACAGTGCGAGAAGAGCTTTGTACGTGTTTCAGATTTAAAACTACATCAAACAGTTCATACTGGAGAAAGACCTTTCATCTGTTCCCAGTGCGGTAAGACATTTAGAATGAAGAGAAGCCTTCAACTCCACATGATGATTCATACTGGAGAAAAGCCTTTTGCCTGTTCTGAGTGCGGAAAAGCTTTTTCAAATGCAAGACACCTGAAATCCCACATCATGATTCATACCGGCGAAAAGCCTTTTACCTGCACTCAGTGTGGAAAAGGTTTTTCAACATCAACTCATTACAAATACCACATGAACACTCATACTGGAGAAAAGCCATACACCTGCACTGAGTGCGGAAAAAGATTTTCAAAATTGAGCGACATTAAAAGACACATGATGATTCATACTGGAGAGAAGCCATTTGTCTGTTCTAAGTGCGGAAAAGGTTTTTCAGTATCAAGTCACCTTAAAAGCCACATGGTGATTCATACACAGGAACAGCTCTTTAACTGCTCTCAGTGTGGAAAGTCTTATAAGAGTCAGAAAGCATGTCAGAACCACATGATGGTTCACACACAGTGAAGCCTTTTTGTTCAGCATGAGGGTTCATGAAGCAGAAGAATCTTTGGATGAATTGGTGGAGATGTGCCTGCCTCTGCAACTATGCAGAAATTTTAAATTATCATATATAACATACTTATCTGGATAAATAATTGTGTTTATTTAAGTCATTTAATGCTTACGGTACACTATATGGCCAAAAGCATATGTGCACCTGACCATCACACCTGTATGAGCTTGTTGGACGTTCCATTCCAAAACCATGGGCATTAATATGGAGTTGATCCCTCCTTTGTGGCTATAACAGACTCCACTCTTCTGAGAAGGTTTCCCCAAGATTTTGGAGAGAGTCTGTGGGAATTTGTGCCCATTTAGTCAAGTCAAGTCAAGTCAAGTCAAATTTATTTGTACAGCGCTTTTTACAACTGATGTTGTCACAAAGCAGCTTCACAGAAATCCATTAAAGACAAAGTTTTAACATGAAAAATCCATCAAAGACAAAGTTTTAACATGAAAGTCAAAAGAGCATTTGTGAGGTTAGACTCTGATGTTGGATGACAGGGCCTGACTCACAAATGACGTTCCAGTTCAACCCAAAGGTGTTCAGTGGTGTTGAGGTCAGGGCTCTGTGCAGGTCACTGGAGTTCCTCCACACCGAACTCATCAAACCATGGGGCACAGTCATGCTGGAACCAGAGAGGTTCTTCCCCAAACTGCTTCCACAAAACTGGAAGCATATAATTGTGTAAACTGTTTTTGTATGGTGTAGCATTAACATAAACGCTTCACTGGAACTAAGAGGCCCAAACCCTGAAAAACAGCCCCAGCCCATCATCCCTCCTCCACCAAACTGTACTGTTGGCACAGTGTATTCCAGTAAGTAACGTTCTCCTGACATCCACCAAACCCAGATTCATCATCAGACTGACAGGTAGTGAAGCTGATTCATCACTCCAGAGAACACGTTTGCACTGCTCCAGAGTCCAGTGGCGGCGCTTTACACCACTCCAGCCGATGCTTGGCATTGAGCATAGTGATCTAAGGCTTGTGTACAGCTGCTCAGCCATGGAGGCTCATTTCATGAAGCTCCTAACCACAGTTCTTGTGCTGATGTTTCTTCCAGAACATATGCACCTGCTAGCAATTGGTGTGAGGTATCCACATGGACACTTAAAAGATGGTTCTTCTGTAAAGGCAATAGTTCTGTTTAGAACCATTAGATCTAAATAGAACCATTTCATACTTAAAAGGTTGCATGATGAAATCGTTCTTCAGATTGATGGAGAATGTGTCGTATATGGTTCTGTGTAGAACCATTTTGAAAATGGCTTGACATCTTAACAATAGTAGAACCTTTGAAGAACTGTGATCTTGAGGTTTGTACTTTTGGTCTTATAGTGCACTTATATGAGGAATGTGTATGTTGATCAAGTATCAAGTATTATCTTGTAATCTCAAGTATTTTACTGCAGACAGTGCTGCCACAAAAACAGCTGATATTGCGACTGTAGCCTGTTTTAATGTTTTTGTTATGGTCTAACAAAAAAAGACCTGAATGTAAATAATGTAAAGCAGACTGATAAAAATGTGACGCTTTTATTATTATGCATGTATTGTTTTTTATTTTTTGTTGCATGACATTTGCAAAGTTTATGAAATAAAGTTTGTAAAATCCTCCTTTTGTGCAACATTTTATTTTACAGTAATAATGAATGTTGCATGTCTGTGTAAATTATATTTGTAATTGTGTCAACAAAAGCTCCCATTGTGTTAAGAACTGTAAAACAGTTCTTAGTAAACTGGGTTAGTTTGTACCGTAACATTAACTCGTCAATTAAAGCTACAAATGCCTTTTTCATACCAGCCAACTATAAATCCCACCTGATGATTCATACCAAAGAAAAGCCTTTTATCTGTTCACAGTGTGAAAAGACATTTTTTTTTTGGCAATTCCAGCCAATAGTTAGGTCTCCAATCACACGATACTACCAGTGTTAAGAGAGGGAAGGCTAGCCACTAAAGCAACATCACTGGACAGCGCAACACGCTTGGAGGAGAGTACTAAGTGGCAGTTCATTTAGCTAAGAAACACCTGCACTGAGTGCGTGGTCAGTTGTGCCGTCTTCAACTCCTGACCACAGTCAGCTGTAGTATTACCAGAGATAGAACTTGCGATTTCCTAAAGATAGGGCGCTTAGACAGTTGTTTCACTCGAAAGTCATGAAAAGACTATGATTAAAAACCCAAACAATGATTCATACTGGATAAAAAAGCCATTTACCTGATCTCAGGAAAGCATCTTCAAAATTTGGCCAACCTTTAAACTAATGATGATTCATACTGGTCAAAATTTACTGTAGATTTACATCTTTTGGATTGGTTCCAAAAAGCTTAAAATTGGATTTACCATTTTCTCAAAAACGAAGATAACAGTGCTACAACATAATTTGATAAAATCAATGGGTTCCTATGCCTGAGGATGGTAAAGAACATGTAGAGGAGGTTAGGATATCAGTAACTGTGCGGACCCCCTGTTTCAGTGATGGTACGTTCCTAATGGAAAGAACATGTACAAGAGTTTAGGATATCAGTAACTGTACGGACCCCCCTGTTTCAGTGATGGTATGTTCCTAAGGGAAAGAACATATAGAGGAATTTAGTTATATCAGGAGCTGTGCGGACCCCCCTGTGTCAGTGATGGTACGTTCCTAAGGGAAAGAACATACAGAGGAATTTAGGATATCGGGAACTGTGCGGACCCCCCTGTGTCAGTGATGGTACGTTCCTAAGGGAAGAGAGATAAGCTATGTTTCTCTGCAGTAAATAAAACTAAAGACTTTTAAAGTCTACAGAGCCGTTTTCTATGATTTCTCCTGCGACTGTGCGGGTAAAGTGGTAGTTAAACCAATTCCACCAACTATCGCTCTTAAATTAGACTAAGTTTCCTCTTTTGGTAAAAGTATCCAGGTTAGCAGGTGCTAGTAAACATGCTAACGGAGCCTCGCAGTTTTGTAGTGAATCTGTCTGTGTTTGAGTTACGAAGAGAAACGGTTCACTAAAAATGCGCTTATTATCACTGTAAGAACGTTTGTAACATCTATTTTATGTGATAAACAGTGGTGGCTAAGCTAAAGCTACCGTCATGTATCCACGGCAACAATTTAACGTGAAGACGCGCGTTCACAACAATGCATTATGGGTAATGTAGTTTTAAGACTTAAAACTGAACACGGAGGCTAAATCGTGCTGCGTTTGGTTCCTCTACCCGCAGTATTGTGAAACTATACAATGACAGACTGTGAAAGTTTGTTATAACGCATTTTTGTGTGTGAATTTAAGATTTAGCTCATTATGGATGTTGTAAAGATGCACTGGAGGCCAGTATTAGTTAAACTAAGCTTTCAACATGGACCTGTATTATGTAAGGCTAGCTGGGTAATCAGACACAGTAGTGTAAGGTTAGTGTTGACGCCTACATTCACTACAGAATGAACAGTTTCACATACATTTTTGACACTTAGAAAATCTGTAATAAGCCCACTTGAATCTACTTAAACTTATTTTTCATATTAATTTGTCACTTTTTATGTTTCTTACTATTTTTATGAGTGACTCCAAGTCAGTTCCAACTCCTGGTGACTGTATTAATGGTGTTTCTCCTGAATATCCCAGAATATCTCTTTGGGTCTTCAGGCTTCTGAATGGCTGCTTCTTTCAAAATATTTGTCCAGAATAAGAGCTTCAGTTTGGTTATCTGGGCTTCGAGTGAGAGATTTGTTTTCTTTTTCATCCAAGGTTCTCTCAGAAGTCTTCGTCAACACCAAAGTTCAAAATCATCTGTATGTTTCCAGTCTTGCTTGTTTATCTGTTCTTAAAGACCCACAGAGAAGACCGTTGGACAAGCATCACACTGAACACTCTCTACCAGTTAAGATGATACTAACACTAAAATGCTCTTGGGAAACCCAGCACAGAGGGTTTGAGAGTGACACTCGCAGCTGATCAGATTGTTCTTTTTCCTTTTTTTTCTGTCACTCCAGCACTGCGAGTTTGGTGAGGCAGTTCTGTGAAAATGTCCTGTGTTAAAGAGGAAGGTGAAGACATCAGCGTCATGGAGGCGTCTGGACTGAAGACTGAAGACGAGGAGATGAAGAAAGGTCAGTGTGGACAAGATGGATCAGTGGTCCTCAACTCAGAATCCTCCAGACAGTCCATCTTTTTGCTGTAACATCGCTCCCAGTACACCTGAGCCAGCGGCCGCTCTCACAAAGCAGGGTTTCTTGCCCGTACCTAAATTAACGCAAGCATCACGGTATTTGCAAAAGCTGGCAGTTTGTCCAATTAAACGCTGGCCAATTAAACGCTAAACTAATTAAAGTTGAGATACAACAACTGTGATGAATTTTAAACTTGTATTAAATCAGGGTTTATCTGTCATTCCTTTTGTACCCAATTTTAAACCTACATTCCTAAAAAATGGTTCTTCAAGGGTTCTTTAGTGAAGAAAAAGGTTCTAAACAGATCCATGAACTCTCACAGAATTTTGCATGATTAAAGGATTCTTTACATTGTGAAAGTGTTCATCAGATTGAGGAGAATGTGCTGTAGATGGTTCTATATAGAAGCCTTTCGAAAAGGGTTTCTTTACTAAAGAACTCAAAGAACCATCTTTTATGGACCATTCTTTTATTAGAGTGTATGGTCTTATAAAAGATGGTTCTTCAAGGATTCTGTAGGAAAGCAACTGGTTCTATATAGAACCATATGCATGCTTTTTGAAATATTGCACCAAATACAGTATCCGTGTAGCACCAAAAAGGGGTTATTCTGTTGTTACATTTTAAAAAATAGCAGAACCCTTTTTGGTGCTACATAGAACACTTTTCAAAAAGGTTTTGTATAGAGCCATCTAGAACACTCTTTGAGTGATCATGGTTCTATATAGAAACACTTTTTACTTGAAAACCCTTGAAGAACCATCTTTTTTAGGATTGTAGTGTAAAATTAGGATTACTTTTAATCCCCCATGTTAATCCTGAATTACTTTTATGGTAAATCTAAATTAAGTTTAATCTTTTTGTACCTTACTTTAAACTGAGATTTAATTCAGGGATTCAATTTAATCTTCCAACTTAAATAGTTTAAATTTACTAAGTATATTTAAAATGGGTGTTCCTCAGAACCTCACCTCAGAAAACTTGTACACGCTCACTCACTGATGGTTAACTATTCTGCCCACAAGGGGGAGCTAGTAGTACTTGAGTGAGGTATATGCACATCACTGAAATAGAGTCGACTCACACCCGCAGGATCTCACTGATACAGGAATGAAGTAAAAAGCTGAAGACTAAATAACGCCACGTGAGAACGGAGTGAACCACACTCTTAAAAAAGATGGTTCTTCAAGGGTTCTTTAGTAAAGAAAATGTTTCTATACAGAATCATTACCTCTCACAGAAACCTTTGCATGATTAAAAGGTTCTTCAGATTAATGGCAAATGTGCTGTAGATGGTTCTATATAGAACCTAACCTAAAAGGGCTTGTGATGATGTAAAGTACTCCTTTACACATCACATTATAATGACTGGTTGGTAACACTTACCTGTACTTGTTTGAAGACTGGTCGTCCTTGCTTTGAGGAGAAAAGAGAACTGAACGGGTTCACCTGTGATTTACTCACCTGGGTGAGTCCATCCTCTGTAGAAGAGGAGGGAAGGACAAAACCTGTAAGAAGAGTAAAACGGTTTAATAAGTGTACACTGTATTGTATATGCATATTAATGACGTTGTGAATATAAATCTGATCAGTAAGGAAGATCACAAATTATTTACTGTTGCATGTAAATATATTTAAATAGATTAAGTACTTGTTTTAACCCGGGCCAGTAATGGTATATTCTAGGGGAGGAGCACCCCAAATATAAGAAGCATTACTGGAGGGTACGGGGGAGATCCCTTCTTTCAGCTCGGTGGAAGTTTGAAGGTGATGAGTATAGACCTATATGACTTTGCAGTCACTGGTCCATTGTATAGTTGTAGAGACTATTTTCGTTTGGTTTCGTTTGTGATGTGTGCACGTGTAAATATGTATATAAGCCTGAGTGTTGGTGTGTAAATAAAGGTGACGGGGAGAAGAACTCTTGGAACAGCTGTATTTTATTCCAGTTACTTGGACCACTTGCCCGACGCTACCCATAAGGTGTGTCCCCTGCCACGGCATACTGTCAGGTTGAGGAACGCACTTTATCACAAATGGTGGCAGCGGCGAAGAGCCACGCTTCTTCGCAAATGGTAGCAGAGGAGCAGAGCCACGCACAACTGTGGCAGTAGCTTGTCAACTTCAGCGAACACAAGAGATTGCAAGGAGGAACAACGCACACTGTGGCGGCGAGCCGGACATTTCCAGCGTTCGCCACAAGGAGGCGATGGCTCCCAAGAAACCCCCAACCACCCAGAGAGAACACACAAACAGCAGCGAAGAAGAATGTGAGCCGTCCTCAGCACAGAGACCCACGGAGAGTGCATCCGAGATCGCTAACCTGCAGCTAATGCTCCAAGGCTTCATCGATGCTCAGCAGTGAAAGGACAAGGAGCAGCAGAGAGAAGTGAGGAGGCAGGACCAGAGGTGGCGCTCGCTACAGCACCAGTTCGGGCTGCTGCAGGAAGAAGTCCGGCAGGGTCAAAGGGGAGTGCAGCAGGACCCGGAAGCTCAACATACAACAACATCAGCGCACTCAAGGATATACAGACCGGTGGTACCAGCACATGAGACAGAGGGAGAGCACGCAAGGACCCCGCTGATGGCGTGGCCAAGGCTCCCACAGCTCAAAGACACTGACGACATTGAACACTACTTTCTAATGTTCGAGCGACTCGCGCTAGCGGCTAGATTGCCGAGAGCAGACTGGGCTTTCCATCTAGTCCCATTGCTGGAAGGAAAAGCAAGAGCAGCCTATGTTGCTATGCGCGTAGAGGAAATAAACGACTTTAACGCAGTGAAAGAACCCATTCTCCGAAAATTTGAGATCAACCCAGAGACTTATAGACAGCGTTTTTGTAAAGACAATGTTTTGGAAGACGAAACGCCAAAGGAACTGTTTACAAGGCTCATGGGACTGTATGAGAGATGGATGAGACCGAAGGAGAAATCAAAAGAGGAAATAGGACAAACCATCGTACTGGAGCAGTTCCTGAACATGATCAACCCCAAACTCAAGAGCTGGATAATGGAACGGAGCCCGGTTTCAGCAGAGCAGGCGGTGGAAATGGCAGACTGTATACGACCTATTAGGCATTAAAGGTATTCATACCACGCCATATCACCCTCAAACTGATGGTTTAACAGAACGTTTCAATCAGACTCTGAAACAGGCCCTGAAGAAACTGGCAAACAGCAACGGAACAGACTGGGACATGTGGCTACCTTATGTTCTGTTTGCATACCGCGAAGTACCCCAAGCCTCTAGTGGTTTTTCACCATTCAAGCTTCTTTATGGACGACAGGTGAGAGGCCCTCTGGACGTCTTGAAGGAAGCCTGGGCGGGAGAAAACAGAAAGCAGAAGCTAAACATCTTGTCTTATGTCCTGAAGATGAGAGAAAAGTTGAGCCAGCTGACAGAGATTGTCCATACAAACATGAAGAAGGCTCAAGAACAACAAAAGCGCTGGTATGACAAAGCGGCAAGGAAAAGAGTGCTGGAACCAGGACAGAAAGTACTTATCCTGTTGCCCACCAGTGACACTGGACTTTTAGCCAAATGGCAGGGGCCATATGAAGTGCACAGACAGGTTGGAGAAACCACTTATGAACTGTACCTTCCCGAATGGAAGAAGAGGCTCTAAAGTTTCCACATAAACAGGCTGAGGCCATGGAATGAGCCAGACATCACAAGCGCAGAACAGCTGTGGATAAGGGCTGTTGAAGAAGACGAGGAAGTGAAGGAGCAGTACTTTCCTACAGGAGGGGGAGGGGATGTTCTTCCTGTGGTGTCCCACCTGAGTGCACAACAGCAGAAGGAATTACTGCGGGTGATTCCAACAAAGGTCTTTTCAGAAGAACCAGGACGGACAGCAGTGACCCAGCACAGCATCAGACTCACCAAGGATGAGCCAATCCGGCAGACCACCTGCAGAGTGCCAGCACGACTCGTCCCAGAACTGAAGAAAGAGGTAGAGGAGATGCTGAAAATGGGAGTCATTGAACCGTCGGACAGTGAATGGTGCAGCCGGGTCGTCCTTGTTCCAAAAAAGGATGGAGGCTTACGCTTGTGTTGACTTCTCAAGGTTAAACGCCGTGTCAGCCTTCGATCCTTACCCCATGCCACGGGCAGATGAACTTATAGAGAGGCTGGGAAAGGCCAAGGTTTTATCCACACTTGACCTGTGCAAAGGGTACTGGCAGGTGCCACTAAGCCAGTCCTCTAGAAAGCTGACAGCATTTAGAACACCATCAGGGCTATACCATTTCCTCACGATGCCTTTTGGATTGCATGGAGCAGCTGCAACGTTCCAGCGGTTGATGGACGAAGTCCTCAGGGGCACCGAGAACTTCGCAGCAGCCTACATCGACGACGTGGTGATCTAGAGTTCGTCATGGGAGGAACATCTGAGGCATCTGAGCATCGTCCTGAAGAAGATCACTGAAGCCGGCCTCACAGCAAACCCAAGCAAGTGTCATCTCGCTCGTAAGGAGGTCTCATACCTAGGCTACATCCTGGGTGGGGGACAAATACGACCTCAAGTGGACAAGGTTGAGGCCGTGAGAGCAACCTCGCAACCCTCTACAAAGAGGAGGGTGCGCTCATTTTTGGGTCTTGTGGGATGGTACCGCAGGTTCATCCCCAATTTTTCGACCAAGGCAGCAGCATTGACTGATTTAACAAAGAAGGACATGCCACAAAGGGTGAAGTGGACGGAGGAATTTGAAAATGCTTTTAATGAGCTCAGGAATGCAATGTGTGAGGAGCCAGTTTTAGCCAGCCCAGACTTTTCAAAACCTTTTATTGTTCAGACGGATGCGTCGGGTTTAGGGCTGGGTGCAGTCTTATTACAGGAGGAGGGGGAGGACCGAAAACCCATCCTGTACATAAGCAGGAAACTGTTCCCGAGAGAGGTGAAGTATTCCACCATTGAGAAAGAGGCTCTCGCCATTAAATGGGCTCTTGACTCATTAAAGTATTATCTGCTGGGAAATGACTATGTTTTAGAGACTGATCACAGGGCTTTGCAAAGGATAAAGAGGAGCTGGTATCTGTCATTGCAGCCCTACTGTTTTGACATTCAATATAGAAAAGGCTCCCAGAATGTCACAGCTGACTTCCTTTCTCGCCACTGGGAAGGTGTCGAGCTTAAAGAGGGGGTGTGTGATGATGTAAAGTACTCCTTTACACATCACATTATAATGACTGGTTGGTAACACTTACCTGTACTTGTTTGAAGACCGGTCGTCCTTGCTTTGAGGAGAAAAGAGAACTGAACGGGTTCACCTGTGATTTACTCACCTGGGTGAGTCCATCCTCTGTAGAAGAGGAGGGAAGGACAAAACCTGTAAGAAGAGTAAAACGGTGTGGCATGCGCCCGCCCCCTTCCCACTGTCTCCCTGCCGTCGCGGCCGAGGTTTGTCGCCGCTGGGTGTTCGGGCCCCGCCTTCCTGCCGGCTCTCGCGGCCATCATCGTCGGGGCCCAGGGGGCGGGCACATGCCACAAACGGTTTAATAAGTGTACACTGTATTGTATATGCATATTAATGACGTTGTGAATATAAATCTGATCAGTAAGGGAGACCACAAATTATTTACTGTTGCATGTAAATATATTTAAACAGATTAAGCACTTGTTTTAACCCGGGCCAGTAATGGTATATTCTAGGGGAGGAGCACCCCAAATATAAGAAGCATTACTGGAGGGTACGGGGGAGATCCCTTCTTTCAGCTCGGTGGAAGTTTGAAGGTGATGAGTATAGACCTATATGACTTTGCAGTCACTGGTCCATTGTATAGTTGTAGAGACTATTTCCGTTTTGTTTTCGTTTGTGATGTGTGCACGTGTAAATATGTATATAAGCCTGAGTGTTGGTGTGTAAATAAAGGTGACGGGGAGAAGAACTCTTGGAACAGCTGTATTTTATTCCAGTTACTTGGACCACTTGCCCGACGCTACCCATAAGGTGTGTCCCCTGCCACGGCATACTGTCAGGTTGAGGAACGCGCTTTATCACAGGGCTCTTTTACTGTTAATCTTGTAACAATAGAAGAACCTTTTTGGGTGCTATATAGAGCCCTTTTCAAAGAGGTTCTATATAGAACCATCTATAGCACATTCTTGCACATTCTCCATCAATCTGAACGACCCTTTCATGATGCAAAGAACCCATAAACTCATGATGCAATCCATAAACCCCAACTGGTCTGAAACACCATTGGGAGGCGGTTAATCTGATCCTGCGCCCCTCAAGCATGACTCGACTCTCTCTCTAACTGTCGACTCCAACTGACCTAAAATCTGCAGACTAGAGCCGACCAGCTCAGACTTGGACTGAGAATCGGGGCTAAAATCGTGTAGCGTAAACGCAGCTTTAACCCTGTGTAAGTTAATCCTTGTTGGTGCCGCCAACCCTCAGGATGAAAATACTGTTTCTGATGACGTTTTTCTCCGTGCAGCCGCATGACGCCTCACTCACAAGACTGGAGTTTTAGATCATGGATCGGACTGCAAAACACTCACATTTACAAAATAGAAAACAAACTTCTACTTATAGATTTCATGACCATTACCAATACGTTAATAACTAGAACTAGCTATAGCAGTAGTAATGCACTAAATAGAAAAGATACAGCCATATGCAAAAGTTTGGGCACCCTTAATCAAATTCCATGTTTAGTTTCTAAGTGTGAATAAGTGAACACATCCGGGACAGAAAACACACTTCTACACATTCTAATGCATAATTAAGATTAAGATTAAGTGACCTTTATTAGTTCCACAGCGGGGAAATTTCACCTCTGCAATCTAACCCATCCATGCAGTGAAACACCACTACACACTAGTGAGCCCACACACTAGGGGGCAGAGAGCACACTTGCTCGGAGCAGTGGGCAGCCCTATCCGCAGCGCCCGGGGAGCAGTTGGGGGTTAGGTGTCTTGCTCAAGGACACCTTAGTCACGTACTGTCGGCTCAGGCGATCAAACCGGCAACCTTCCGGTCGCAAGGTTGGTTACCTAATCTCCAGCCCATGAATGCCCCTTACTTACTGTTATTACTTACTACTAGAATGTTAAATTTAGCAAATAAATAGAAACCGTGAACCAATATTTAAGTGTGTTCTATTTAGAGGATGTGCTCACTTATTTTCCTCAACAAAACTTAATTTGACCAGCGGGTGTTTGGACTTTCCATACGGTTGTAACGGTGATCTGACACTGGATTTTCGATGGTGGATCACTTTTGCTGGGCTACTTCACCATAGCAACTTAAGTCGCACACCTAACCTGCTCCAGGGCCTGTTAAGTTCAGGATTTCGGATAATAAATGGCACTTTGACCAATCATGACCGAGCTTCTCACCAATCAGGGAAAGCCTTTTGATGGAGGAGGTCCCCAGAGGTCACTTATTTTCGGGTCACTTATTTTTCCTTTGTGACATTTGAGATGCCAGTCATGTCAAAAATATCACTTTTCAGTAGAGGAAACAAATCATACTACACAGATATGAAGCATGTAAAGCAGTTATTATTCCAAGAAGCACTAACACAGTGTCAGTGGAGACAGCACTGCTTTTACCGATTACGTCATACAATTTATTTGTTTCCTTTGTTGAGAAATAAGCAACTGGACTGCTCCTCAAGTTTCATGCTGTTGGCTGTTTGTCTTAAACTTCACACTTTGGTGTGCATGCATGCTAGTTTAATCACAGCCTGAGCATCTAAACCAGAATTAACAGAGATTTTTAATCTCCTTCATAAAAATCTGTTATATTCAGAAGCAGTTTTAATGTCTCAGTTACAGCTGTTATTTCAACACAATTTAACAATAGTGGTTTTACGTATGAATAACATGCCCTCTTCTTTTATTATAGAACAAAGTTTCCAAGATGACATTAAAGATGAGTTCAAACAGGAAGTGAAGCCAATTGAGGACGAATATTGCGTGTGGAAATCTCAGCAAACCGGTGATTGTGAAGAGAACTTCAGTGCTTCCCCCGATCAGAAAGTTCCCCTGAGAATTCATACCGGAGAAGAAGCTTTCAGCTGTTCACAGTGTGGGAAGAGCTTCACCTCTGAGAGAGCTCTAAAACGCCACATGGACGTCCATGACGGAACGAGACCTCATCAGTGCTCTGAGTGTGAAAAGAGTTTCAAACTCCCAAGAGACTTGAGACGACACAAGAAGATTCATACTGGAGAGAAGCCGTTCACCTGCTCTAAATGCGGTAAAGGTTTTACAACCTCACAAAACCTCAAAGTCCTCATGACAGTACATACTGGGAAAAAAGCCTTCATCTGCACTCAGTGTGGAAAAGGTTTTTCATCACCAAGCTACAGTAAAACACACATGATGATTCATACTGGAGAAAGGCCTTTTACCTGCACTGAGTGCGGAAAACATCTTTTAACGTCAAGCCTCCTTAAAGTCCACATGATGATTCATACCGGAGAAAAGCCTTTCACCTGCACTCAGTGTGGAGCAAGTTTCAGCACTCGGAGCACCTTAGCAGTTCACACGTACATACATACCGGAAACAAACCTCATCAGTGCTCACAGTGCGAGAAGAGCTTTGTACGTGTTTCAGAGTTAAAACTACATCAAACAGTTCATACAGGAGAAAGACCTTTCATCTGTTCTCAGTGCGGAAAGTCATTTAGAGTAAAGAGAAACCTTCATCTCCACATGATGATTCATACTGGAGAAAAGCCTTTTACCTGCACTCATTGTGGGAAGAGCTTTTTTACATCATCTCACTACAAAACCCACATGATGATTCATACTGGAGAAAAACCATTTGCTTGCTCTGAGTGCAGGAAAGGTTTTGTAAAATCAGTTGACCTTAAAAGACACATGATGATTCATACCGGAGAAAAGCCTTTTACCTGCTCGGAGTGCGGAAAAGGTTTTATATTGTCAGGTGACCTAAAAACCCACATGATGAATCATACTGGAGAAAAGCCTTTCACCTGCACTCAGTGCGGAGCAAGTTTCACCACTTCGAGCGCCTTAGCAGGTCACATGTACATACATACCGGAAACAAACCCCTTCAGTGCTCACAGTGCGAGAAGAGCTTTGTACATGTTTCAGATTTAAAACTACATCAAACAGTTCATACTGGAGAAAGGCCTTTTGTCTGTTCTCAGTGCGGTAAGACATTTAGAATAAAGAGAAGGCTCAAACTCCACATGATGATTCATACCGGAGAGAAGCCGTTTACAGGCTCAGAGTGCGGAAAAGCTTTTTCAAATGCAAGACAGCTGAAATCCCACATCATGATTCATACTGGAGAAAAGCCTTTTACCTGCACTCAGTGTGGAAAAGGTTTTTCAACATCAGGTCTTTACAAAAAACACATGAGCACTCATACTGGAGAAAAGCCATACACCTGCACTGAGTGCGGAAAAAGATTTTCAAATTCAAGCAGCGTTAAAAGACACATGATAATTCATACTGGAGAGAAGGCTTTTTCCTGCACTCAGTGTGGGAGGAGCTGTCCTACATCATCTCACTACAAAACCCACATGATGATTCATACTGGAGAAAAGCCTTTTGTCTGTTCTGAGTGTGGGAAGAGTTTCATCACTCCAAGCGCCTTAGCAGGTCACATGTACATACATACCGGAAACAAACCCCATCAGTGTTCACAGTGTGAGAAGAGCTTTGTACGTGTTTCACAGTTAAAACTACATCAAAGAATTCACACTGGAGAAAGACCTTTCATCTGTTCCCAGTGCGAAAAGACATTTACAATAAAGAGAAGCCTTCAACTCCACATGATGATTCATACCGGAGAGAAGCCGTTTTCCTGCTCTGAGTGCGGAAAATCCTTTTCAAGTGCAAGAAACCTGAAATGCCACATCATGATTCATACCGGCGAAAAGCCTTTTACCTGCACTCAGTGTGGAAAAGGTTTTACAACATCAAGTCATTACAAAAACCACATGAACACTCATACTGGAGAAAAGCCATACACCTGCACTGAGTGCGGAAAAAGATTTTCAAATTCGAGCGACGTTAAAAGACACATGATGATTCATACTGAAGAGAAGCCTTTTTCCTGCACTCAGTGCGGAAAGACATTTCGAATACAGAGAAGCCTTCAACTCCACATGATGATTCACACTGGAGAGAAGCCTTTTGCCTGCTCCGAGTGTGGAAAAACTTTTACAAAATCAAACAGCGTTAAAAAGCACATGGAGATTCATACACGGAAAAAGCTTTCTGACTGTTCTTAGTGTGGAAAGACTTATACGAGACAGAAACGTTCACATCACCTGAAGCCTTTTATTTGTACCTAACTGTCCAGCATGAGGCTTCATAAAGGAGAGGAGAAGTTGAGTTGGTAAACTAGCCTATAGCATCGTGGTTTGTGTTCACAATTTCGCAAATCGAGAATGTGTGCTCTGAATAGCTAATTCAGCAAGAGAGCATGAGGTCAGTGTGTAGGGGGTGTAGCGATTCTGAAACCAAGACCAAAACCACAATACAAACATTCACGGTATAGTGTTGCAGTACTGGAAGACGAAACCATGATATCCCCAAATCCCAACTCACTGGTGCAGCCTGTTGAGCTCTCATTACATTACTAATGTTACAAAACTCATCCTCATTTCACATTTATCACTATAACACGTAATTCGTCAAGTTATTACTCTGTTTAAAGTTAGGGAAGCTGTATACCATGTTTTTAGTGTGCTTCTCTTTTAGTTTTCCAAATTGATGATGGTGATGATTTAATAAAACCCAGAAATTTTCCCCCCTTTTTTCTTATCACCCCCAACTCTCCCAAAACAACCCAAAAACCAGGGTATGGACCAAACTGTGGCTCGAAAATCGAGGTCTGAACTGAATCGTGGATTTGAAGGACTCTAACCCTAGCCTCCTCTACTCGTCTGATCATTCTAACTAACTGTTGATACTGGAATACATGGGTTCTGTAACATCTGGCGGAAAGCTAATACTGTGTTCCACCATAAAATCATACCAGCAGTGAAACGTGGTGGTAGTGTGATGGTCTGGGGCTGCTTTGCCTCTGTGGGACCTGGATGATTTATCAAAATTGATGGAACCACTGCAGAGGCGGCACAACCTGTTACTAGGTTTAGGGGGCAATTACTTTTTCACACGGGTGATATAGGTTTTGAGTAAATCTTTATCTTCAATAAATGGAATGATGGTTTAAAAGCTGCAATTTGTGTTTACTTGTGTTGCCTTTATCTTATATTAAAATTAGTTGGATGATCTGAAACATTTAAATTAATGTTTAAATTAACAAATTAGCGAAAATAGAAGAAATCGGGTGAGGGGCAAATACTTTATCACAGCATTGTAGACAATTTATCAAGTGATTTAAATATGCAGGTTAGAAGTCACCACTTCACCAATCGTTCTTAAGAAGACATTGCTTCTTAAAACCCCATCACGCAGTTTTCATGAAGACTCTGACGTCACTCCAGCATGATTGGGTTCCTGTGGAGCTTTTGAGTATAATAATAGTCTGTGAACTTTTAATCGTTTTAAAAAGAAAAATACACTAATTTCCTGAACACAGACCAGCCTAAATATTTCAACACTGCCGTTACATTTTTTGAGCACTTGAGAACTCCAGTTAAAAGAATTTATAATAGTGTCTCGTATGGCGTCAGACAGCCAGTGAGCTGCTCCGCTCACCAATCAATCAGCGCTCAGTAGCAGTGATGCTAACCAATCAGCATTCAGTAGCAGTAACACTAACCAATCAGCATTCAGTAGCAGTGATGCTAACCAATCAGCACTCAGTAGCAGTAATGCCAACCAATCAGCGCTCAGTAGCAGTAACACTAACCAATCAGCACTCAGTGGCAGTAACGCTAACCAATCAGCACTCAGTAGCAGTAATGCCAACCAATCAGCGCTCAGTAGCAGTAACACTAACCAATCAGCACTCAGTGGCAGTAACGCTAACCAATCAGCACTTAGTAGCAGTAATGCCAACCAATCAGCGTTCAGTAGCAGTAACACTAACCAGTCAGCACTCAGTGGCAGTAACGCTAACCAATCAGCACTCAGTCGCAGTAATGCCAACCAATCAGTGCTCAGTCGCAGTAACACTAACCAATCAGCCCTCAGTAGCAGTTACAATAATCAATCAGCGCTCAGTAGCAGTAACACTAACCAATCAGTGCTCAGTAGCAGTAACGCTAACAAATCAGCGCTCAGTAGCAGTAATGCGAATCAATCAGCCCTCAGTCGCAGTAATGCTAAACAATCAGCGCTCAGTAGCAGTAACGCTAACCAATCAGCACTCAGTAGCAGTAATACCAACCAATCAGCGCTCAGTAGCAGTAACACTGACCAATCAGCACTCAGTGGCAGTAACGCTAACCAATCAGCACTCAGTTGCAGTAATGCCAACCAATCAGCGCTCAGTAGCAGTAATGCCAACCAATCAGCATTCAGTAGCAGTAACACTAACCAATCAGCACTCAGTGGCAGTAACGCTAACCAGTCAGCACTCAGTCGCAGTAATGCCAACCAATCAGTGCTCAGTCGCAGTAACACTAACCAATCAGCCCTCAGCAGCAGTTACAATAATCAATCAGCGCTCAGTAGCAGTAACACTAACCAATCAGTGCTCAGTAGCAGTAACGCTAACAAATCAGCGCTCAGTAGCAGTAATGCGAATCAATCAGCCCTCAGTCGCAGTAATGCTAAACAATCAGCTCTCAGTAGCAGTAACGCTAACCAATCAGCACTCAGTGGCAGTAACGCTAACCAATCAGCACTCAGTAGCAGTAACGCTAACCAATCAGCACTCAGTTGCAGTAATGCCAACCAATCAGCGCTCAGTAGCAGTAACACTAACCAATCAGCGCTCAGTAATAGTAACAATAACCAATCAGCGCTCAGTAATAGTAACACTGACCAATCAGTGCTCAGTAGCAGTAACGCTAACCAATCGGCGCTCAGTAGCAGTAACACTAACCAATCGGCACTCAGTAGTAGTAACGCTAACAAATCAGCGCTCAGTCGCAGTAACACTAACCAATCAGCACTCAGTAGCAGTAATGTTAACCAGTCAGCACTCAGTAACAGTAACGCTAACCAATCAGCGCTCAGTAGCAGTAATGCTAACCAATCAGCGCTCAGTAGCAGTAATGTTAACCAGTCAGCGCTCAGTAGCAGTAATGCTAACCAATCAGCGCTCAGTAGCAGTAATGCGAACCAATCAGCGGTCAGTAGCAGTAATGCTAACCAATTAGCGGTCAGTAGCAGTAATGCTAACCAATCAGCACTTAGTAGCAGTAATGCCAACCAATCAGCGCTCAGTAGCAGTAATGCGAAACAATCAGCACTCAGTGGCAGTAACGCTAACCAATCAGCGCTCGGTAGCAGTTACAATAATCAATCAGCGCTCAGTAGCAGTAACACTAACCAATCAGTGCTCAGTAGCAGTAACGCTAACAAATCAGCGCTCAGTAGCAGTAATGCGAATCAATCAGCCCTCAGTCGCAGTAATGCTAAACAATCAGCTCTCAGTAGCAGTAACGCTAACCAATCAGCACTCAGTGGCAGTAACGCTAACCAATCAGCACTCAGTGGCAGTAACGCTAACCAATCAGCACTCAGTTGCAGTAATGCCAACCAATCAGCGCTCAGTAGCAGTAACACTAACCAATCAGCGCTCAGTAATAGTAACAATAACCAATCAGCGCTCAGTAATAGTAACACTGACCAATCAGCGCTCAGTAGCAGTAACGCTAACCAATCGGCACTCAGTAGCAGTAACACTAACCAATCGGCACTCAGTAGTAGTAACGCTAACAAATCAGCGCTCAGTCGCAGTAACACTAACCAATCAGCACTCAGTAGCAGTAATGTTAACCAGTCAGCACTCAGTAACAGTAACGCTAACCAATCAGCGCTCAGTAGCAGTAATGCTAACCAATCAGCGCTCAGTAGCAGTAATGTTAACCAGTCAGCGCTCAGTAGCAGTAATGCTAACCAATCAGCGCTCAGTAGCAGTAATGCGAACCAATCAGCGGTCAGTAGCAGTAATGCTAACCAATTAGCGGTCGGTAGCAGTAATGCTAACCAATCAGCACTTAGTAGCAGTAATGCCAACCAATCAGCGCTCAGTAGCAGTAATGCGAAACAATCAGCACTCAGTGGCAGTAATGCTAACCAATCAGCACTCAGTAGCAATAATGCGAACCAATCAGCACTCAGTGGCAGTAACGCTAACCAATCAGCACTCAGTCGCAGTAATGCCAACCAATCAGCGCTCAGTCGCAGTAACACTAACCAATCAGCGCTCGGTAGCAGTTACAATAATCAATCAGCGCTCAGTAGCAGTAACACTAACCAATCAGTGCTCAGTAGCAGTAACGCTAACCAATCAGCCCTCAGTCGCAGTAATGCTAAACAATCAGCGCTCAGTAGCTGTAATACCAACCAATCAGCGCTCAGTAGCAGTAACACTGACCAATCAGCACTCAGTGGCAGTAACGCTAACCAATCAGCACTCAGTTGCAGTAATGCCAACCAATCAGCGCTCAGTAGTAGTAACAATAACCAATCAGCGCTCAGTAGCAGTAACACTAACCAGTCAGCGCTCAGTAGCAGTAACGCTAACCAATCAGCACACAGTAGCAGTAATGCTAACCAAACAGCCCTCAGTCGCAGTAATGCTAACCAAACAGCACTCAGTAGCAGTAATGCTAACCAATCAGCACTCAGTAGCAGTAACGCTAACCAATCAGCACTCAGTAGCAGTAATGTTAACCAGTCAGCACTCAGTAACAGTAACGCTAACCAATCAGCGCTCAGTAGCAGTAATGTTAACCAGTCAGCACTCAGTAACAGTAACGCTAACCAATCAGCGCTCAGTAGCAGTAATGTTAACCAATCAGCGCTCAGTAGCAGTAATGCTAACCAATCAGCGCTCAGTAGCAGTAATGCGAAACAGTCAGCATTACTGCTACAGGGTTGGTTGTCTTTGATTTTCATTTAAATCATCCTTCTACTTTCCAAAATAAAAGGCCTGCAGAAAAGGTTAAAAATAAGTTTAGTTTTTCATTTTAGCCATTTAGCTCAGTGTTTCGCAGTGATGTTTTTGATATAAGGAGAAGAATAGGAGGTGGCCAGACCGCCCTTAAACCAGCTCTAGTGGACCCCCCTGTTTCAGTGATGGTACGTTCCTAAGGGAAAGAACATATAGAAGAATTTAGGATACCGGGAACTGTGCGGACCCCCCTGTTTCAGTGATGGTACGTTCCTAAGGGAAGAGTGGTATGTTTCTCTGTAGGACTGTGTTAAATACAACGAATTCTTAAATCAGACAAAGCCGTTTTCTATGATTTCTCCTGCGACTGTGCGAGTAAAGTGGTAGTTAAACCAATTCCACCAACTATCGCTCTTAAATTAGACTAAGTTCTCCTCTCTTGGTAAAGAAATCCAGGTTAGCAGGTGCTAGTAAACATGCTAACGGAGCTAACGGAGCCTCGCAGTTTTGTAGTGAATCTGTCTGTGTTTGAGTTACGAAGAGAAACGGTTCACTAAAAATGCGCTTATTATCACTGTAAGAACGTTTATAACATCTATTTTATGTGATAAACAGTGGTGGCTAAGCGAAAACTACCGTCGTGTGTCCACGGCAACAGTTTAACGTGAAGACGCGCGTTCACAACAATGCATTATGGGTAATGTAGTTTTAAGACTCAAAACTGAACACGGAGGCTAAATTTGCTTCCTCTACCCGCAGTATTGTGAAACTATACAATGACAGACTGTGAAAGTTTGTTATAACGCATTTTTGTGTATGAATTTAAGATTTAGCTCATTATGGATGTTGTAAAGATGCACTGGAGGCCAGTATTAGTTAAACTAAGCTTTCTACATAGACCTGTATTATGTAGAACTAGCTGGGTAATCAGACACAGTAGTGTAAGGTTAGTGTTGACGCCTACATTCACTACAGAATGAACAGTTTCACATACATTTTTGGTACTTAGAAATCTGTTATAAGCCCACTTAAATCTATTTAAACTTACTTCCCATGTTAATTGGTCACTTTCTGTGTTTCTTACTATTTTTATGAGTGACTCCAAGTCAGTTCCAACTCCTGGTGACTGTATTAATGGTGTTTCTCCAGAATATCCCAGAATATCTCTTTGGGTCTTCAGGCTTCTTAATGGCTGCTTCTTTCAAAATATTTGTCCAGAATAAGAGCTTCAGTTTGGTTATCTGGGCTTCGAGTGAGAGATTTGTTTTCTTTTTCATCCAAGGTTCTCTCAGAAGTCTTCGTCAACACCAAAGTTCAAAATCATCTGTATGTTTCCAGTGTTGTTTGTTTATCCATTCATAAAGACCCACAGAGAAGACCACAGCCTGGACGATGCTGATCGATATTTCTCAACTCCTAGATTCTCAGTAATTGATCCGAGTTGGCAAAAGCTGTCCACCATTTCCACATGTTCTCCATCAGTGGTAAAGCTAGCAGTCTTTCCTGTCTGATAACTGATTGAATCTGAGGTCTAATCAAATCGAGCTACATTATAAACCAGCGGAATTCACGAAACTTACTAAATTAATGACAGACAAGCTCTTTGTCCACCCACCAAAGCACAACCAAATATCACCCAAACATTGCTTACAGCACAACTTTGATAAGATGTAGATCGACCACTTTCAAAAATGCAAGTGCGTGAGGCGTTGCCATTGGCTACTTTTCGCCAGCCATGCTTAAAAAGTGTGATTAAAACATTTAACGTTATATGCAGGAGTTCAGATTTCATATCTTATCGTGTTGTGAATTTACACGGTGAACAGTAAACCCAAGAGTAGACTGTTGTTAATATGTGCTGTTCTCTATAAATGAGGTTCTGTAGTTACTGTTTACTTTGTTTCAGGGCCGGGTTTCCTGAAAACATCTTAGTACAAAGATACCTGTCCAATAGTTGGGCGAGCCTCACACTGAACAGCTGATCAGATTCTTCTTTTTTCTTTTTTTCAGTCACTCCAGTTTTCACTCCAGCACTGCAAGTTTGGTGAGACACATCTGTGAAAATGTCCTGCGTTAAAGAGGAATGTGAGGATATCAGTGTCACAGAGGCGTCTGGACTGAAGACAGAAGACGAGGAGGTGAAACAAGGTCAGTATGGACTTGTGTGGACAAGGTGGATCAGTGGTGCTCAGAATCCTCCAGACAGTCCATGTTTTTGCTGTAACATCTCTCCCAGTACACCTGACCCAGCGGCCGCTCTCACAAAACAGGGTTTCTTTCCAGTACCTAAATTACAGTTGAAAAAGTTGAGGTCAGAACAAACTATTTGCTAAGTATTGATACATACTAGGGGTGCGGGAAAAAAATGATTCTTAGATGCATCGCAATGCGGACGTGGGCGATTCTGAATCGATTCATTCAACGTCAAAATCGCTTTTCTAAATATTTAATTCATAACGTAATGTTGACGAAGCGCAAAGAGTTGAACTTGGAAGTGGGTAAGTGCAGCGCCCGGACAGTCTGTGGCGGCACAACGGGGTGCATTAAAAGCCAGGTTAGGTCAGGAGTTACAACCAAAATGTTAAGAAGAGCCATTTTGTCCTTTCAACGAAAATCAAACCACCTTGGGAGCCACAACATTTAATGTCCAGTATGTCTCAGTACATGCTGATGTCCTAGTATTGACTAAACAATATAAACCAAAAAGCGGACTTACTCTCCTCTGCTTTAAGCTTTAGCTATAGCCACTTTTTTTCCATCTCCGCCAGAAAACTTTTCCTCAAAAGTTAAATAGTTTCTTGTAAAATGTCTTTCAGCTTTCGGCTGTTTTACAAAGCTGAAGTCGCTTCTCATTCGCCAGCTTCTTGCTGAACTTTCCCATTCCACCTTAAATTCTGACTCAGGCGCCGAAGGTCTTTCTCTTTTCCTTTTTCGTTCGCCACTAGCCAGGCGAAACCTCGTTGCTAGGTGACCTGCAGTCTGCACGCCAATTCTCAGTCAAAGAAAACGGATAGGACGGCTATAATGTGCTGCGTGGTCATCCATTACCACTGGATCTTATTTCACCGTAACAGCGCATTTTATCACAGATGAGTGGCAGCAGCATCTCCAAACAAGAGCCATGAATGAGAGCCTTCCAGTTCACTTGTCACATCACTTTCACTTGTTTTATTAAAAGATATTGGACTTAAATGCATTGTGGATCATTACAAATACTTAGCTTTAAAAGTACCAAGTCCTCAGACAGTAAGAAAATAGAAATCATGTGTAGAAAAAAAAGATGCATCGATAATCGTTTTATCGAATCGAATGGTGAGATGCCTAGAGATTCCCACCCCTAATACATACACTGTATTGCCAAAAGTATTCACTCACCCATCCAAATCATTGAATTCAGGTGTTCCAATAACTTCCATGGCCACAGGTGTATAAAACCAAGCACTTAGCCATGCAGACTGCTTCTACAAACATTAGTGAAAGAATGGGTCGCTCTCAGGAGCTCAGTGAATTCCAGCATGGTACTGTGATAGGATGCCACCTGTGCAACAAGTCCAGTTGTGAAATTTCCTCACTACTAAATATTCCACAGTCAACCGTCAGTGGGATTATAACAAAGTGGAAGCGATTGGGAACGACAGCAACTCAGCCACAAAGTGGTCGGCCATGTAAAATGACAGGGGTCGGCGGATGCTGAGGCGCATAGTGCGCAGAGGTCGCCAACTTTCTGCAGAGTCAATCACTACAGACCTCCAAACTTCATGTGGCCTTCAGATTAGCTCAAGAACAGTGTAGAGAGCTTCATGGAATGGGTTTCCATGACCGAGCAGCTGCATCCAAGCCTTACATCACCAAGCGCAATGCAAAGCGTGGAATGCAGTGGTGTAAAGCGCCGCCACTGGACTCTAGAGCAGTGGAGACGTGTTCTCTGGAGTGACGAATCACGCTTCTTCGTCTGGCAATCCGATGGACACGGTTGCCAGGAGAACAGTACTTGTCTGACTGCAGTGTGCCAAGTGTAAAGTTTGGTGGAGGGGGTATAATGGTGTGGGGTTGTTTTTCATGAGCTGGGCTCGCCCCCTTAGTTCCAGTGAAAGGAACTCTTAATGCTTTAGCAGACCAAGAGATTTTGGACAATTTCATGCTCCCAAATTTGTGGGAACAGTTTGGGGACGGCCCCTTCCTGTTCCAACATGACCGCTCACCAGTGCACAAAGCAAGGTCCATAAAGACATGGATGAGCGAGTTTGGTGTAGAAGAACTTGACTGGCCTGCACAGAGTCCAGACCTCAACCTAATAGAACACCTTTGTGATGAATTAGAGCGGAGCCTTCTCGCCCAACATCAGTGTCTGACCTCACAAATGCGCTTTTGGAAGAATGGTCAAAAATTCCCATAAACACTCCTAAACCTTGTGGAAAGTCTTCCCAGAAGAGTTGAAGCTGTTATAGCTGCAAAGGGTGGGCCGACATCATATTAAACCCTATGGATTAAGAATGGGATCTCACTCAAGTTCATATGCGTGTGAAGGCAAAAGAAGGAATACTTTTGGAAATATAGTGTACATTATGTAACACTTGGGTTATTCTACTGGAACATTCATTACATCTTTGCACTAGATCAGGTGACTAAGCTGTATGGCTTTTTCACTCAGAGTCCAAGTTGTACAGTCCAAAAAAACAATAAATGCATGAATATAATACAGTAAGAACAACAATAGAACAGTATAAAAACATGCCTCAATGTACAAATCAACACATCAGAGCTCATGGTTCTTCATAGTTTGTACACTTGTTTTAATACTCATGAGCTGAAGCAGAGCCTCAAACTCCTCCACAAAAACAGTGTTTCAGCTGCATCTTTCTAACTGACAGCTTCGTTACTACTGAAGATGAAACCATCTTTTTTGCTGTTCTTAGTGAAGTGCATTGGAGAAAACGTTTCAGTGCACAAAAAGTCACATCTGTTCTTTCGTGCTCACGGTCAGTTAAACAATAAACTAACGCTAAAGTTGAGATACAGCAACTGTTATGAATTTTAAACTTGTATTAAATCAGGATTTATATATTATCCCTGTTGTACCACATTTTAAACCTACACTCTTAAAAATGGTTCTTCAAGGGTTCTGTAGTAAAGAAAATGATTCTAAACAGATCCATGAACTCTCACAGAATTTTCCATGACTAAAGGATTCTTTACATTGTGAAATGTTCTTCAGATTAATGGAGAATGTGCGGTAGACGATGCTATATAGAAGCCTTTCGAAAAGATTTCTACATGGCACCTCTACTACAGAACCCTTAAAAAAACCTTCAAGGGTTCTGTAAAGCAGTTGGTTCTATGTAGGACCGTTAACACTAATAATGGTTTTGAAAGAGTAGCATTTGAGTAAGGTATATGTGCATCACTGAAATAGAGTCGACCCACACCAGCAGGATCTTGCTGATACAGGAATGATGTAAAAAGCTGAAGACTAAATAACTCCTCATACGAACTGAGTGAACCACACTGGTGGTTCTTCAAGGGTTTTTTTAGTAAAGAAAATGGTTGTATACCAAACCATTACCTCTCACAGAACCCTTTGCATGATTAAAAGGCTCTTTGCGTCACGAAAGCGTTCTTCAGATTAAAGGTAAATGTGCTGTAGATGGTTCTATATAACACCTAAAAGGGCTCTTTTATTATTACATTGTTAAGATTGTAACAATAGAAGAACCCTTTTGGGTGCTGTATAGAGCCCTTTTCAAATAGGTTTTAAGTGGAACCATCTATAGCCCGTTCATGCACATTCTCCGTCAATCTGAAGGACCCTTTCATGATGCAAAGAAACCATAAACTCATGATGCAACCCATAAACCCTGACTGGTCTGAAACGCAATTGGGAGTCAGTAAATCTGAGTCTGCGCCCCTCAAACACGACTCGAGTCTCTCTCTAACGGTCGTATCCGACTGACCCAAAAATCTGCAGACTAGAAAAATAAGCTGCTTGAAAGCTCCTCAAGTTTCATGCTGTTCGCTGTTTGTCTTAAACTTCACAATTTGGTGTGCATGCATGCTGGTTTAATCACAGCCTGAGCATCTAAACCAGAGTTAACAGAGCAAGTTGTTAACCAGAATAATAAAAAAAATATATATTCAGAAGTGTTTTAATAGTTCAGTTACAGCTGTTATTTCCTTTTTTTTTAACAGTAGTGGTTTTACATATGAATAACATGTCCTCCCCTTTTATTATAGAACGAAATTTCCAAGATGACATTAAAGAGGAGTTCAAACAGGAACTGAAGTCATTTGAGGACGAATATTGTGCGTTGAAATCTCAGCAGACTGGTGATTGTGAAGAGAACTTCATTGATTCCTCCCACCAGAAGGATCACCTGAGAATTCATGCTGGAGAAGAAGTTTTCAGCTGTTCTCAGTGTGGGAAGAGCTTCACCTCTGAGAGAGCTCTGAAATGCGACATGGACGTCCATGACGGAACGAGACCTCATCAGTGCTCTGAGTGTGAAAAGAGTTTCAAACTCCCAAGAGATTCAAGACAACACAAGAAGATTCATACTGGAGAAAAAACGTTCACCTGCTCTGAATGCGGTAAAGGTTTTACAACCTCACAAAACCTTGAAGTCCACATGACAGTACATACTGGGAAAAAAGCCTTCATCTGCATTCAGTGCGGAAAAGCTTGTTCAAATTTAAGCCACCTGAAAAGCCACATGTCGATTCATACCAGAGAAAAACCATTTGTCTGCTCTGAGTGTGGAAAAGGTTTTGTAAAATCAGGTGACCTTAAAAGACACATGTTGATTCATACCGGCGAAAAGCCTTTTACCTGCTCGGAGTGCGGAAAACGTTTTACATTGTCATGTCAGCTTAAAACCCACATGATGACTCATACTGGAGAAAAGCCTTTTGCCTGCACTCAGTGCGGAGCAAGTTTCACCACTTCGAGGGCTTTAGCAGGTCACAGGTACAGACATACTGGAAACAAACCCCATCAGTGCTCACAGTGTGAGAAGAGCTTTGTACGTGTTTCAGAGTTAAAACTACATCAAACAGTTCACACTGGAGAAAGGCCTTTCGTCTGTTCCCAGTGCGGTAAGACATTTAGAATAAAGAGCAGCCTTGAACTCCATATGATGATTCATACTGGAGAAAGGCCTTTCGCCTGTTCTCAGTGCGGTGAGACATTTAGAATAAAGAGAAACCTTCAACACCACATGTTTATTCATACTGGAGAGAAGGCTTTCTCTTGCACTCAGTGTGGGAAGAGCTTTTTTACATCATCTCACTACAAAACCCACATGATGATTCATACTGGAGAAAAACCATTTGCCTGCTCTGAGTGCAAAAAAGGTTTTGCAAAATCAAGTGACCTTAAAAGACACATGAAGATTCATACCGGAGAAAAGCCTTTTACCTGCTCGGAGTGCGGAAAAGGTTTTACATTGTCAGATCAGCTTAAAACCCACATGAAGATTCATACTGGAGAAAGGGCTTTTGCCTGCACTCAGTGCAGAGCAAGTTTCAGCACTTCGAGTGCTTTAGCAGATCACATGTACACACATACCGGAAACAAACCGCATCAGTGCTCACAGTGCGAGAAGAGCTTTGTACATGTCTCAGATTTAGAACTACATCAAACAGTTCATACTGGAGAAAAGCCTTTCGTCTGTTCTCAGTGTGGGAAGAGCTTCACCACTGAGAGAGCTCTGAAACGCCACATGGATGTCCATGAAGGACAGAAATCTCATCAGTACTCTCAGTGTGAAAAGAGTTTCAAACTTTCAAGAGACTTAAGACGACACAAGAACATTCATACTGGAGAAAAAACGTTCACCTGCTCTGAATGCGGTAAAGGTTTTACAACCTCGCAAAACCTTGAAATCCACATGACTGTACATACTGGGAAACAAGCCTTCATCTGCACTCAGTGCGGAAAAGCTTGTTCAAATTCAAGCCACCTGAATGCCCACATGTCAATTCATACCGGAGAGAAGGCTTTTTCCTGCACTCAGTGTGGGAGGAGCTTTTTTACATCATCTCAGTACAAAACCCACATGATGATTCATACCGGAGAAAAACCATTTGTCTGCTCTGAGTGTGGAAAAGGTTTTGCAACATCAGGTGGCCTTAAAACACACATGATGATTCATACCGGAGAAAAGCCTTTTACCTGCTCGGAGTGCGGAAAACGTTTTATATTGTCAGGTCACCTAAAAACCCACATGATGACACATACTGGAGAAAAGCCTTTCACCTGCACTCAGTGCGGAGCAAGTTTCACCACTTCGAGGGCTTTAGCAGGTCACATGTACATACATACCGGAAACAAACCCCTTCAGTGCTCACAGTGCGAGAAGAGGTTTGTACAGGTTTCAGCGTTAAAAGTACATCAAACAGTTCACACTGGAGAAAAGCCTTTCGTCTGTTCTCAGTGCGGTAAGACATTTAGACTAAAGAGAAACCTTCAAATCCACATGATGATTCATACTGGAGAAAGGCCTTTCGCCTGTTCTCAATGCGGTGAGACATTTAGAATAAAGAGAAGCCTTCAACACCACATGTTTATTCATACTGGAGAGAAGGCTTTCTCTTGCACTCAGTGTGGGAAGAGCTTTTTTACATCATCTCACTACAAAACCCACATGATGATTCATACTGGAGAAAAACCATTTGCCTGCTCTGAGTGCGAAAAAGGTTTTGCAAAATCAAGCGACCTTAAAAGACACATGAAGATTCATACCGGAGAAAAGCCTTTTACCTGCTCGGAGTGCGGAAAATGTTTTACATTGTCAGGTCAGCTTAAAAGACACATGAAGATTCATACTGGAGAAAAGCCTTTTGCCTGCACTCAGTGAGGAGCAAGTTTCAGCACTTCGAGTACTTTAGCAGGTCACATGTACAGACATACCGGAAACAAACCGCATCAGTGCTCACAGTGCGAGAAGAGCTTTGTATGTGTTTCAGATTTAAAACTACATCAAACAGTTCATACTGGAGAAAAGCCTTTCGTCTGTTCTTAGTGCGGTAAGACATTTAGACTAAAGAAATGCCTTGAACTCCACATGATGATTCATACTGGAGAAAGGCCTTTGGCCTTCTCTGAATGCGGTAAAGCTTTTTCAAAATCGACCAACATTAAAAAGCACATGGAGATTCATACACGTGAAAAGCTTTCTAACTGTTCTTAGAGTGGAAAGATTTAAGAAACAGAAAACCTTTCACAATCACATGATGGTTCACATCAACTTAAGCTTTTTATTTGTACCTGACTGTCCAGCATGATGCTTCATGAAGAAGAGAAGTTGAGTTGGTTAAATAGCCTATAACATTGCGATTTGTGTTGACACCCCTAGTCTGTAGCCTGCTCTACTCGTCTGATCGTTCTAACTAGCTGTTACTATTGAAAGACATGGGTTCTGTAACATCTGGCGTAAAGCTAACACTGCATTCCACTATCAGATCATACAAACAGTGAAACATGGTGGTGGTAGTGTGAAGACCTGGGTCTGCTTTGCTTCTGCAGGACCGGGATGACTTGTCAAAATTGATGAAACCATGATTTCTGCTCTTTGTAGGAGAATCCTTAAGAGAATGTCCACCCGTCAGTTTGTGATCTCAAGCTCATTTGGGTTATGCAGCAGGACAGTGATCCAAAGCACACAACCACGTCCATCTCTGAATGGCTCAAAAGAAACCAAACGAAAGTTTTGAAGTGACCGAGTCAAAGTCCTGACTTGAATCCCACTGAGATGCTATGGCTAGACATTAAACGGACAGTTGACGCTCAAAATCCCTACAATGTAGCCAAATTAAAACAATTCTGCAAAGAAGAGTGAGCCAGAATTCCTCCACTGTGATATAAAGGACTCATTGCAAGTTTTTGACTGCAGTTGTTTCTGCCGAGGGCAGCACAACCTGTTACTAGGTTTAGGGGGCAGTTTCTTTTTCACGTGGGTGATATAGGTTTTGAATACATGTTTACCTTCAATAAATGGAATGATCATTTAAAATCTGCCTTTTGTGTTTACTTGTGTTGTCTTTATCTTAGAATTTGTTGGATGATCTGAAACATTTAAATGTGACAAATTAGCGAAAATAGAGGAGTGAGGTGCAAATACGTTTTCACAGCATTGTAGACAATTTATCAGTGATTTAAACATGCAGTTTACAAAGTCACCACTTCACCAACCGTTCACCAGCACTGACCAACTGCTCTTGAGAAGACGTTTCTTCTTAAAACCCCCTTACACAGTTTTCACAAAGACCCTTTATAAGTGTCACAAAGTTTTCAAGAAGATTTATAAGTGTCTCATATGTGCCTGGCGTCAGTCAGCTAGTGAGCTGCTCCGCTTACCAGCCAATCAACGCAGTATCAGTAATGCTAACCAATCAGCACTCAGTATCAGTAATGCTAACCAATCAGCACTCAGTAGCAGTAGCGGTAATATTAGCATCCTGTGGCCCAAAAATGCTTTATCAAAATGGAAACATAACGGTTAGTTGTCTTTGATTTTGATTTAAATCATCCTTCCCCCTGTTTCAGTGATGGTACGTTCCTAATGGAAAGAACATGTAGAGGAGTTAGCATATCAGTAACAGTGTGGACCCCCCTGTTTCAGTGATGGTACGTTTCTAAGGGAAAGAACATGTAGAGGAGTAAGGATATCAGGAACAGTGCGGACCCCCCTGTGTCAGTGATGGTACGCTCCTAAGGGAAAGAACATGTAGAGGAGTAAGGATATCAGTAACTGTGCGGACCCCCCTGTGTCAGTGATGGTACGTTCCTAGGGAAGAGAGGTATGTTTCTCTGTGGAACTGCAGTAAATAAACCGGACTCAGATTATAAAACACCGTTTTTTATGGTTTCTCTGGTGACTGTCCAGGATAAAGAAATGATTAAGGGAATTCTGCCAAGTGTCGCTCTTGGATTAGACCAGGTTTTACTCGCCTGGAAAAGGTAACCTGGTTAGCCGTTGTTAGCAACCAGGCTAACGGAGCTAACGTAGCCTAGCGGCATTTTAGAGAATCTGTCTGAGTTTAAATTATGAAAAGGAAACTGCTCTCATTTTCCCTTACGTTAAAAAAACGCGTCTAACATTTGTTTTATGTGCGATTATATGTTGGTTAAAGTCCCGTTCGGTATCCACGGTTACCACTTAACTAGAACAGTAACGCTTGCAACAGTGCATTATGGGTAATGTAGTTTTTAAGCCTAGAAACGGACGAGATGCGATTGTGTTGGCCTAATTCTTTTACATGGAGCATTTATGCAATTATTGGACACACATAGATATGTATGCATATATGTATATACGTATTTTCTGATTATAACGGATCAGATTCTTCTTCTTTTATGTTTTTCAGTCACTGAGGGGGTTTTGACCAGGCTTATTCACTCCAGCACTGTTTGGTGAGACAGATCAGTAAAGATGTCCTGTGTTAAAGAGGAGTGTGAGGATGTCAGCGTCATGGAGGCGCCTGGACTGAAGACTGAAGACGAGGAGGTGGAGACGGGTCAGTATGGACTCTATGTAGTTCTCGACTCTCGGCTCCTCCTAATCCTCCAGACGCTAATCTCTGCTCTAACGTCGCTCCCAGCACACCGGACCCTGCGGCTGGTCTCACAAAGCACAGTGTTTTGCTTGGCCAGCTACGTATATGGGGACTTGTCTTGTTTGGTGTGGACTTTTTTCAGTTCAGTCTATTTGACAGATGCCAAGACTCCGCCTGTACTCAGGTGTGCAGTGAACTCACTAAAAGTCTGCCAGTAATCTCAGGACTTGGTCCGCTTCCAGGTGAACGCTGGTCCAATGTCGGTATCATCTGCTTGCTCTAACATTGACCCCTGAAAGACCCTCGTTGTTCTTGCAATGTGAGCTGCTGCCAATATAGCAATACAAATAACAGCAAAGCAGTGTGTTTGACTTCAGCACTTGCTATTTTTGTCAAGCATCAGCGACCTGATTGGGTAAATTCAGATTGATAACCCATCATAAAGACACAGAAATCAAGTACAGTTTATTTTGACTGCTTTGATTTGTTTTTCATTAGGTTCTCCCTTCAGCAGAGCTACATGATGTGAAGTATTTGATGGTGATGATGATGTGTTAACTGCCCACCAATACTCACTTCATAATCCTTCATGTTGTCTGATTAGTTTTATTTATGGTATTCATGACGTAGGCGAGTTTGGGATGAGGTCAAATTAGTAGATGGGTGAAGCTAGTTGTGCCCCTCACCCACTCCCCACCCACTTTTCAACATTTATAAAGCTGTTGTTGGAAGAAAACCTCGTATCTCCAGTTTTTGACTGATAATCTGAAAATGCCTGTTGCTCTTTACATTGTGTGTAAATTTCATGATGAATAGATTAAAACAAATGGCCCAAAAACACTTGGAAAAAATTCTGGTTCCAGTGACTTACATTAAAACTAAAGCTTCCTTCCTTCTCCTGTAAAGTTACCATTTTGGAGATATGAGGTTTTGTTCCGACAACAGCGATAAGCATACATTTTCATGAACATCCATTTTAAAATCTATGTGTACGAATCTTTTATAAATGAGGCTTCCGCTCTGCGCTCTTAAAAAAGATGGTGATGGTTTTTTAAGGGTTCTTCATTAAAGAAAATCGTCCTATATAGAACCATGAACGCTTAAAGAACTATTTTCATGCTTAAATGGTTCTCCGCATGGTGAACTGGTTCTTCAGAATGTCCTGTATATGGTTCCCGTATATGGTACCATTGTGCTTACGTTAGCTCATATTCACAAAGCATCTTGGAGTCGCAGTGCTGATCCATGATCAGATTCCTACTTTTTTTTACTGAGGCCATACTGACAAGAACAGGTCCTAGATCAGTGTTTCTACTCTCAGAAGCTCCGTAAGTGTAGACCGTCAGTCACACCTGCATCTGTCTTAAAAAAACACCTGCATCTGTCTTAAAAAAACAGATTATATATGCAGGTAATTATCCATTAAATAAAACAGTTACCTTCACCTGTAAGCTCAGTTCACAGGCATTGATGCGTTTTATCACACTTGCACAAGCAGAAATGTGTTTGTGGAGCTCTGACTAGCAGGCGAGAGAATAAACACCAAAAGAGGAGGAGACGCAAGGCTGAAGGTCCCCGAACCAGCAAACTGTCCCAGCAGAGCTTTTGACTCGTATCATAACAGGCAAGAGGGAACAAGTGAAACAGAAACAACATATGTGTTGTTACCTTTTACGCAGTGACTAATAATAATTACAGAGCCATATAAGACCATGTAAAGGTCTTTTTACACGAATCAACCAATATATAAAGAATCTAGAGTATGTCCAGCACTCAACATGATTCAGATGTTTCTAAATTTCTGTCCATTTCAAGAGCTTAAACACTCCGTAAATGTTGCTGACAGCAGAAAATCCAAGAAACATCTATATCATGTTGAGTGCTGGACATACTCTAGACTCTTCATATATTGGTTGATTGATTATTGCAAACATGTCAGTGTTATTGCAGCATAGTCTTCAGTCCTTGAACTATTTTCTTTATTTTTCTTGCATGAAGAAGAAAAGTTTATTAAGAACAGTCTGGAAACAGGAATGTATATTTTGAAAAGCAAAACAGAATTGGTTTATGAAATAGAAGGTATTCTTTTCCAGAAGTATTGTTTATTTATATATTTTATATAAATGAACAGCACCATTAACATCATTCTGTCCTGAGCCTACACTATATGGACAAAAGTATCGGAAAACCTCCACATCACATCTACAGGAGCTTCTATGAATCCCATTCTAAATCCATAGGCATTAATATGGAGTTGGTCCCCTTTGCAGCTCTAACAGCTTCCACTCTTCTGGGAAGCTTCTACAAGATGTTGGAGAGAGTCTGTGGGAATTTCTGCCCATTCATCCAGAAGAGCATTTGTGTGGTCAGACACTGATGTTGGACGAGAGGGTCTGGCTCACAATCTCCATTCTAGTTCATCCCAAAAGTGTTTGATGAGGTTGAAGTCAGGACTCTGTGAGGGCCATCAAGTTCTTCCACACCAAACTCACCCAGTCAGGCCTTTATGGAGCTGCTTTGTGCACTGGGGCTCAGTCATTCTGGAACAGGAAAGGTTCTTCCCCAAACTGTTCCCACAAAGTTGGAAGCGTATAATTGTCCAGAATGTCTTGTTCTGCTGAAGCATTAAGATTCTCTTCACTGGAACTAAGGGTTCTAGACCAACCCCTGAAAAACAACCCCATAGCTTCATCCCTCCTAACGTGCTCCAAACCCAGACTCATCCATCAGACTGACAGATAGTGAAGCTGATTCGTCACTCCACAGAATACATTCAGAAAATATATATAAACATGTCATTTTATTGTTTTTTTTTTATACCAGTGGTGTTTTGCTTATGAATAATATTTCCCTTTTTCCCTTTTTTTACTTATGAAAAATTTTCCCTTTATTATAGGAACAGTTTTACAAGAAGACATTAAAGAGGAGTTCAAACTGGAAGTGAAGCCATTTGAGGGAAGAGTGTGCTGCACAGAAATCTGACCAAACCGCTCAGCATGAAAGAAGCTCCAGTGATTCTTCCCAACAGAAGGATCACCTGAGAATTCATACTGGAGAAGAAGCTTTCAGCTGTTCACAGTGTGGGAAGAGCTTCACCTCTGAGAGAGCTCTGAAATGCCACATGGACGTCCATGAAGGAAAGAGACCTCATCAGTGCTCTCAGTGTGAGTGGAGTTTTGAACATTTTACAGATTTAGAACAACACGAAAAGACTCATACTGGAGAAAATCCTTTCGTCTGCTCTGAGTGCGGGAAAGGCTTTTCAACCTCAAAAAAATTTGACATCCACATGACAGAACATGCTTGGAAAAAGCCCTTCACCTGCACTCAATGTGGAAAGGTTTTTTCAACAACATGCTACCTTAAAATTCACATGAGGATTCATACTGGAGAAAGGCCTTTCAGCTGCACCCAGTGTGGGAAGAGTTTTTTGACCTCAGCCCAGTTTAAAATCCACAAGATGATTCATACTGGAGAAAAGCCTTTTACCTGCTCTGAGTGCGGAAAAGGTTTTTTAATGTCAAGCCACCTCAAAACCCATATGATGATTCACACAGGAGAAAAGCCTTTCACCTGCACTCAGTGTGGGATGGGTTTTGCATGTTCTGCAGAGTTAGAAGTCCATCAAAGAATTCACACTGGAGAAAGGCCTTTTGTCTGTTGTCAATGTGGAAAGACATTTAGAGTAAAGAGAAACTTTAAAGCCCATGTGAAGATTCATACTGGACAAAGGCCGTTTTCCTGCTCTGAGTGCGGAAAAAGTTATTTAAGATCAAGAGACCTGAAAACCCATATAAGGATTCATACCGGAGAGAAGCCATTTACCTGCTCTGAGTGCGGAAAAGGTTTTTATATGTCACGCCTCCTTAAAAACCACATGATGATTCATACTGGAGAAAAGCCATTTTCCTGCTCCGAGTGCGGAAAAAGTTTTTGTAAATCAATCGACGTCAAAAGACACATGATGACTCATACTGGAGACAAGGCTTTTACCTGCTCGGAGTGCGGAAAAGGTTTTATAGCGCCAAGCCACCTTAAAGCCCACATGAAGATTCATACTGGAGAAAAGCCTTTTACCTGCACTCAGTGTGGGAGGAGCTTTTTTACATCATCTCACTATAAAATCCACATGATGAGTCACACTGGAGAAAAGCCCTTTACCTGCTCTGAGTGCGGAAAAGGCTTTTGTACATCAAACGATGTTAAAAGACACATGAAGATTCATACTGGAGAAAAGGATTTTAACTGCTCTCAGTGTGGGAAGACTTATAAGAGAAAGAAAGCCTTTGATGATCACATGTTGGATCACACATTATGAAGCTTCTACAACCCCATTTCCAAAAAAGTTCGGACGCTGTGCAAAATGTAAATAAAAACAAAATGCAACGATGTGCAAATCCTTTAAACCCTATATTTAAAAGTACTACAAAGACAACATGTCAGATGTTGAAACAGAAATGTTATTGTTTTGTTTTTGTTTTTTTGTTTTTTTTAATTTGCCCATTTTGAATTTGATGCCAACAACATGTTACAAAAAAGTTGGGACGGGGGCAACAAATGGCTGGTAAAGTTGTGTAATGCTAAAAAAAACACCTGGTTGTAAATTGGCAACAGATTAGTAACATGATTGGGTATAAAAAAAGCATCTCAGAGAGGCGGAGTCTTTCAGAAGTAAAGATGAGGAGGGGTTCACCACTCTGTGAAAGACTGCACCATCAAATGCAACAATTCAAGAATAACATTTCTCAACGTAAAATAGCAAAGAACTTTTGCTTTTCCTCATCTACGGTACATAATAACATTAAAAGATTCAGAGAATCTGGAGAAATCTCTGTATGTAAGTGACAAGGCCAAAAACCAGTATTTGCTGGCTGTGAGGACTGCATTAAAAACAGACATGATTCTGTAGTGGAAATCACTGCATGGGCTCAGAAACACTTCTGAAAACCACTGTCTGTGAACACAGTTCATTACTGCATCCACAAATGCTAAAACTCTAAAACGCATCCATAAATGCTGCCACCTTCTCTGGGCCGGAGCTCATTTAAAATGGAATGAGGCGAAGTGGGAAAGTGTCCTGTGGTTCGCTGAATCAACATTTGAAATTCTTTTTGGAAATCATGGTCACTGTGTCCTCCGCTAAAGACCACTCAGCTTGTTATCAGTGCACAGTTCAAAAGCCAGTATTCATGATGGTATGGGGGGGCATTAGTGCACATGGCATGGGTGATGTGCACATCTGTGAAGGCACCATTAATGCTGAACGATATATACATGTTTTGGCAACATATGCTGCCCTCCAGATGACGCCTTTTTTCAGAGAAGGCCTTGCTTATTTTAGCAAGACAATGTAAAACCACATTCTGCGTGTATTACAACAGCATTACTCCAAATTAGAAGAGTATTGTAGAAGGAAATGTGTAGTGCGGAATTTGAAAAGTTGTGTATTAGCTTGTAATTTGTAAAGAAATGTTGGACTGCAGGGATGTTGGGACACAGTGTTTTTGGAGGGTTTTTAAAACATAAAACAAAAAATAAAAAGATCTGAATGTAAAAATTGAAAAAGCAGGCTTATAAAGATATGATGCTTTTTTGTATTTTATTTATGTATATTTATATTATATATGTATAGTTATATTTCTGTTCTACTGTTACAGTTCGTTATATTTATATTGTATAGTTAGCTAGTTATATTGTATAGTATATAACTAAGGTCAAAACAAAACTACAGTGTGCTAAACTGTAAGTTGTGAATACTGTGAGAGCGCCCCCTGCTGTATATCAGAACGTCACTGCTCTCCAGTTTCAGTCTACATTTCCCAAACGCTTTAATGCCTCGGTGTAGTTCTTGCAGCGACAACGTTCACCTGGCTTCAGCAAACAATATGATGGAATTGTGGAAAAAACGAACAACCGCAGATGCCACAGTGTCGTGCACATGGCAACTAGCTGAACTCCACGGACGAAGACACTACAAGACAAAGCCTGTGACTGGTCGGTGAAAAAGAGGTGTGCCATGAAGCAAAGATGGACGACTTTGAGGAGCTTTTTTTCTCAAGGCATACGCTGACTGTAAGACGCTGAGTCTATTACTCGGTAGTCCTAACTAGTAGGAAGCACCAAAACATATAGGTTGTTCACAAGATTAACTAGGCTGAAATTGGCTTTGTATTTGCCAGCTTCTTGTTCAGAAAGTATGTGAGCTTGTAAGCTCGCAAGAAGTATGCTGATACCTTTAGCCAAGCGCGCTAACGTTACTCCTCCTAATAAACAGACACACGTTCAGCTCCGTCTCCTCATTATTCACCACCACCACTGTAATATTTCATCATCAACATTAACACACGAAGGTGATCAGAGGGGCGGTGGAGATCGAGTCTGCAGCGTCTGAGATCTTTAAAACGCAGAGTTAGAAAAGAAAATCATCTCACAGTGAAAGCAGCGTTTTACAGTAGAAATAAATGGAGCTCATTATGCTGGTAGTGAACTATGCTGCTGACTCAGCTGCCTAAAAACCATAGAAACGGACCTTAAACAGAAGTGAGGACCCTGTTGGGGTTCATCCTAAAGTTAGGACAGGATTTAGGAGGTTTAGTCTAGTTACCCTGATAGCGAGCATGTATCGGTCCGAGGCTTGAAAAGGTCAGCACCCCACTGACTGTTTGCCACTGCTGGTCCACCTTCGGACCACCCTGATTACTGTCATGCTTACAAGTTTTAACTAGTTTTTAATCTCCTCGAACGAATTTTAAATGCACCCAGACTTTTATTTTAAAAATGTGTTGTTGCTGGTTCTGTGCTAGATTAAAATTATTTACTAAACTAATTTATAAAGTATAACTAAAGAAAGGAAGGAAGGAAAAATCAGTAATTTGGACCGTGAGTGGAAAATGAGTGACGATAAGTGGAATTTTGTCTAATACTCTGCTTAAACACCGGTGGACCACCAGATTTGCCATCAGTGGCCCAACAGTGGTCCACTATCCTCTTGCTATCAGGGTAAGATGTTTGTGTGATGCTGTTTTCTTATCTGGAGTTAATGATGAGATTATGAAGTTAGGAGCTGTTATTCTTTAATATCTACTGTCCGAAATTCAGTCTGTAGTGAAGTTGTCATGGAGACTAAACACAGCAGATTTCAGAGGTAAGATGTTTCTGCAATACGGTAAATAAAACGGACTCTTAAGATTTTAAATTAGATTAGGTTTTCCTCATTTGGAGGTATCCAAGTTAGCAGTTGCTAGCAAACAGGCTAACGGAGCTAACGTAGCCTAGCAGCATTTTAGAGGGTCTATCTGTGCTGCAGCTATTAAAAGGACACTGGACGCTTTTTCTGTTACTGGTAAAATGCTTCAACGTTGCTGTGTGTTTAAAATGCTGTTCGGTATCCATGGTAATTAAAACCTAAAAGACTGACCAGACGCCCAGAGTCTTTTACAGCCCTGCTGAAACATTTGGGATTGAAATCCAACAGTTTTTTTCTTCTAATGGGAATTGACTTAGTGGTTTACAATAGAAACCACCAGTGTCCTGTAGAACACCTTTGGATTCCATTAGGAAACCATGAGATGCATTTAGAAACAGCCACTATCACCAGTTAAACCATTAGGAACCTTTAAATTGTGATATCAATTGTAAAAAAAAAAGCTGAAAACACATTACTAACCAATAGGAACCAACAGAAATGCTTAATGGTTTCTGTGGGTTTTTTCAGTTAGGAAGGGATGGCAAATGTACTCAGTTTGCCTAGTTCTTTGACCTGAGCGTTTGAGCAATTGTGCCATACTCATCTAATTTACATTTGAATATATATATATATATATATATATATATATATATATATATATATATTCATATATAAATGTGTGTGTGTGTGTACATATACATACACTGATCAGGCAAAACATTATGACCACCTCCTTGTTTCTACGCTCATTGTCCATTTTATCAGCTCCACTTACTATATAGGTGCACTTTGTAGTTCTACAGTTACAGACTGTAGTCCATCTGTTTCTCTGCATACTTTGTTAGCCCCCTTTTACCCTGTTCTTCAGTGGTCAGGACCCCCATGGACCCTCACAGAGCAGATACTATTTGGGTTTTGGGTCATTCTCAGCACTGCAGTAACACTGACGTGGTGGTGGTGTGTTAGTGTGTGTTGCGCTGGTACAAGTGGATCAGACACAGCAGTGCTGCTGGAGTTTTTAAACAGTGTGTCCATTCACTGTCCACTCTTAGACACTCCTACCTTGTCGGTCCACCTTGTAGATGTAAAGTCAGAGACGAAAGCTCATCTGCTGCTGCACAGTTTGTGTTGGTCATCCTCTAGTCCTTCATCAGTGGTCACAGGACGCTGCCCACAGGACGCTGCCCACAGGACGCTGTCGGCTGGATATTTGTGGTTGGTGGACTATTCCCAGTCCAGCAGTGACACTGAGGTGTTTAAAAACTCCAGCAGCACTGCTGTGTCTGATCCACTTGTACCAGTGCAACACACACTAACACGAAACAAGAGAAGAAACAAGGAGGCGTTCATAACGTTATATCTGATCGGTGTATATATGTATATGTACACACACACAAAAATATTGGGACACACCATCATTCAGTCGCATTGCCACAGGTGTGTAAAATCAAGCATCTAGTCATGCAGTCTGCCTTCACGCACATAATTGAAAAAATAGGTCGTTCTAAAGAGCTCACTGAATTCCAGCGTGGTGCTGTAATAGGATGCCACTGTTACAACAAGTCAGTTCCTAAAATTTCTTCCCTCCTAGATTTTCCACGATCAGCTGGTAATATTGAAAAGTGGAAGCATTTAGGAATCACAGCAACTCAGACATGAAGTGTCAGACCATGTAAAGTTACACAGCGGGTCACTGAGTGCTGAGGAGCATAGTGCATAAAAGTCACCAACGCTCTGATCAATAACTGCAGAGTTCAAACCGCCTCTGGCATCAACATCAACACAATGACTGAGCGCCGGGAGCTTCATGGCAGGGTTTCCATGGCTGAGCAGTTGCCGGCAAGCCTTCCATCACCAAGCACAATGCCAAGTGTCAGATGGAGTGGAGTAATGCGCCGCCACTGGACTCTGGAGCAGTGGAAACATATTCTGTGGAGTGACAAATCACACTTCTCTGTCTGTCAGTCTGATGGACAAGGCTGGGTTTGGCGAAAGGACTGTTGGAAGAGGGTGAACTAAGAGATGCCAGTGTTCTTCCTTGCTCACCACCAGTCCATAATAACTTTGTGCTCATCGGCTGTGATGGTTTAACTACTCATCCAAAGTGCATATATGAATTGAACATTGAAGTACGTGAATCTAGGTTCATGCCGGTTCTCATCATTCCTGGCCAGCATGATGAATTCATCATTGGTACTAATGTTAAACCTGTTATATAAACAGTGAA